TGTGTCAGGTTGAAATAATAAAATTTCAAATTATTGATACAATCTTTTTTTTGGTCAATAAATTTTGTTGTATGGATGACAATTTGTTTAAATTTAAAAAAAAACTATATCATTTCACTAAAAGACGTTTTCGACATTTTTATCAATCTCAATAAACTGAAATGTCAGCTTTGTTTCATTACATTAGTTATTTTGTTCAATATTCTACTGTATTTGTACATTGATTCAATCTAGAGATAATATAGTCAGTATTTAGAATAGACAATTTATATTTCATTTAATAGAAGTACAGTTTAAGAAATGATCGGAGGAGGAGAATTGAAAATCAAACAGCGATTGATAGCAGTCTTGTTTTTTTTTTTATTGTGTAAACTAGCTTCTCTGTCAGTGATTCATTAATCGTAATATATATCTACATTTTATTGAAACTCCACCTGGAGTGCTTCTGGAGTTATTACTGGTCTCAAGACTTGATAAAGGAGGAGGGTTGAGCATAGGGTTGGCGACTTCATCACGTAGAAAAGGAACTTGCTAAAAAACCTAGAAAAAAAATAATTCAATCCATTTAAACTTTGCGCTGCTAGTTAGAAAGTCTTCATTAAGCAGAATTATGATTTCTCGAAATGTAAGCTGAGTTTCTTCGAAAGTTACGATACCGATGGACAACAGAGACCAAAGAAGAAATGAAAAGCATGAACTGAACGCCAAAGACGGAGTAAGTTAGAGGATTCTGGTCGGTAGACTATGTTCCACAGGTGTTATAAGCGTAAGTAAGTACATAAGCAGGTAGTCAGTCAGTCAGTCAGTTACAACGTAGAACTTCGTACATAAGTACATAAGTTCAGGTTGCCAAACCCCATCAGCACAGAGAAGCAACTGTCAGTTCGAATCCCATAGTGGTAGATATAGTAGAATTATTAGCAGCCATGGAGATTAGGGAGCGAAGATAATATTCAAGAAGTAGGATGTAGTCAAAGAAACTTTAAAAGAAAAAGATAATGGTGATGAGAAATCGAGATTACAGTTTGGGCGAACACAAAGAGTGGATGCACCTGCACAATTGCACACGATTTTGAGCCATATTCAAGGTCTCAAACCATCGTCTTCTCGAAAAGACTAGGGTTCAAAGATATGTTTCGAGAAGTAAGTAGGTAAGTAAGTAATTCAGTGAGTAAGTAAGTAAATAATTAGGTGAGTAGGTAAGTAAGTAAATAAGTAAGTAAGTAGGTGAGTAACTATATATGTAAGTAATTAGTTAAGTGAGTGAGTAATTAGGTAAGTAATTAAGTAAGTAAATAAGTAATTAAGTGAACAAGTAAATAAGTAAGTGAGTAAATTTAAATGAAGATGCTCAATAAATAATTTCATTTTTAAAATTAGTAAACTGATATTTTGTTATTATTGTTGTTTTTTCTTAAAAAGCAGGAAAACACTTTACAACAATATATTGAACGTTATGTGGAACAATGTAATACAAGTGTTACTTTAACAAGACAATATTCCACAAATACACCTAATGTTAATCATACTGACAATCAAGATATTCAAAGGTATGATTGTTGAGAATTTTTTGTGTATCAAAAAAAATAGTTACATTTCATGTATTCAGGTTATGATTCCTTTTTCTTTACATTTTAGTGCATTCAAAGTATGGTTAGAGAAATATTATCAATATAATTGCAAGATTCATGATTGTTCATCGTACAGACAGGTAAATGGTTACGTAATTCTTAAATAAATTAAAATAAATATTTTTTTAACAATATCTTTAGTCCGCCAGTCAGTCAGTCAGCTACAACGTTCAACTTTGTATGTACGTATATCAGGGTTCAAGTTGACACAGCATATTAACACATAGATATCGAATCGATGACTAAAATTGCATAGTAGTAGAAGTATTAGCGGTAATTAAAAAGATTATTGATCGAAGCTTTCATTCGAGAAGTATATCCCAGAGAGAGAGAGAGAGAGAGAGAGTGAGCGAAAGAGAAAAAGATAATCATGAGGAATTCAGAAGATGAAAATGTGAGTGAAAACAGAGAATAGATGCCATATCATTCAAAGTCTCTAACCATCGGTTACTATCATCTCATGGACCCCAATCTGGTCAATCCACTTGCCAGTCACTTAAAGATATTATGATACACAATGGAGCTTTTAACTTTTCCAACTAAACATAAAATATTACTCATTTATATTAGTTATTCAAACCTTATAGTTGATGCTTGGGACTACAATTGATTAACTTATTTTAATACACATGAACCTTATTAAGTTATAAGCTTTTATAATTAGAGTTAGGTAATGATCGTTAGCGTAGCTGAAATACAGTTAGTCAGTCAGTTACAACGGAGAACTTCGTACGTTCGTACATCAATTCAGGTTACCATACCTCATCAGCACAGAGGTGCGTTTTTTGTACTGGGATCACACAAATAGTGTACACCTTGAGTCGTTTATCAAAACTAGAACAAAATATTATATTATGAATGAATTAGTCAGTTATATAAATGGTTGTACTCTTCTTGTCAAGTCCATTTTTTTCACATTACAATAAATATCTGTTGAACATTGAGTGTTAAATGATCAATAATAATTGTTTTTGATTCAGTATCACATAATCAATCATATTTTCACATTTTATTTGAAGTTAATTGTTGATCATAGTATGGAAAGCATTGCTTGTGTAATTGGTAACTGTAAAAATCAAACTGAATTTAACCAAATCCTATTATGTTACAATGACTCATTATTGTAAGTTAATTCATATATATGTTTAGTAGTTAATTTTTTATTAAAGATTCAGTGTTTGTTTTGTTGTTTTCGGTATCCTTTCGTTTCATTATCAATGATTTAAAATTGAGTGATTGATTTAGGCTTGAGTACATGTAATCGTACAGCATTGATTAAAGTTGCTTTTACGCGTTATAATTAAAAGATAGCAGATGAATTGTATTTAGTTGTAGTAGAGATGAACAATGTTGATGTATGTTTTGTACAGTGTTAAATTCGATTTTTAAGAAACAAATAACTTGATGTTTTCAAACATTTTGAAGATGATTTTTAACTAGATTGTTTTTAATTAGGTGTTATGAATAGACAAAAGCAAAATAATACGATCAATTTTGTCGTAGTAGAGAGATTATTTCATTAGAAAGTTGGATGTTGGCACCACGATCTACAGATTTGACATTTACACACGAGACCGAAGGTTTTGTGTTCGATTCCTGAGGGCGGGTCTCATACTGTGACGTTTTGGTCATCTAGTGTTCCTGAGTTTCTGTCTAGTGTTGGTCTAACACTCATCGATTCAAAGAGATTGTAACGCGAATATAATGATTCACTGTTGGCAAAGATTAAAATTTCTAATCTAAAAACTTGGTTGAATAGCCGATATCTGACTGTTTTACTTGATTATTACTTTCAACCAGTGTCAATAGGACAATGGAAACTGTTGAACTTCATTGATATCATGACTTGATCAGAGTTAGACTATCATCGGAAATGACATAGCACTGGATAGCCATTTCGTTTTAGTATGCGACCCAACCAGTGAGGTTCAAACACATAGGGTGTGAGACAGTTACTCATCAAATACAATGTATAAAGTCGCTCAATATCGTCGATTGACTGAAGTTAGGTATTAGCAACATTAGATACCACTCAGTGGTCTATAGGTTCGGCGTTCGCGAGACCGTAGGTCTTGAATTAGATCCTCACACGCGCGGTCGTAGATACACAGTGTTAGCGAGTCCCATATTAAGACAAAACGGTATTCCAGTGTTTCAAGGTTTCTAATAGTGATTTAACGTGGATCAATTCATGATCTCAATGAAATAGAAAAGTTGTTGACAAACTCCGAATATAATTTACTAATCTGCTTATTAAAACATCTGACTGTTATGGCTAAGAATCATATGTTGATGCAATAATTTTATTATTAGACAGTTATTAGTGGGACGAATGAAAGAATTTGACTTGCTAACTGTGAAACTGGTACAAGCAGCTTAAACTCAAACTGAGATTTTAAGCAGTACGAAATAGTTATATTCCATTTGTTGATAATATTAAAACAAACGGTATCATTGCCAAGTGTTGAGTTGGTTATTTTAGGGGAGTTTTCGGCACCAATACTGGAATGAGTAAACTTTTGTTAGACTCACTGTATGTATATACGTGATGAATTTTCTAAAATTTGCCAGTCTTCCACTTTAGATTGAGCTGGTAACATGTTGGGGATGTTAGATCTCCAGAACTCACTTGATAGATATCTTTATTTTGGATTTATTTCATGGATCGATCAGTTGACCTTAAAATAACATTCCCCACCAGGAAAATCATTGGCTGTGATTGGTTGCTGTGTCATTTTAGTGACTGTCCTAACGACATCTCTATAGAGTATAAATAAACGCAATTTGAGTGCTTGTGTGCTGACTGGGTGTTTGTTGACTACAGTTTCTACACTATATCAAAATTTCTTGCTGATTCAATTTGGTCAAGGCAACACAGTAGCCTACCTGAGCGATGATTCTCATTATTCGACTAAGGTGAACTCGTAATAGTTTTAAGCATACTTAGAGACGAGCGTAGCATACCTGCATGGTATTGTCACACAACTGATTTGTTCTATGACTAAATTTTCTTGATAAAATGAATTATTTTGCCATAAACTATACAGTTTTTGACCGACTACATTGTTTTTTTTAAACTACCCCAGTTATGTACTGATCAATATCAAACTATATGAGCTTTTTTGTTTCCAGAAATGTTTTGTAACTGTGTAGAACAAAAGTAATTCATTTTATGTCTACATATTACTGCTAATATTATCATATCAAATATGTAAACGCTCCATCAATATTTTGGAATAGTCAGGATATTATTGTTATGCCTGAAATTATTACGAGTTCACCTTAGTCGGTAAACGAGAGCTAAGATAAATGATCCAGTGATATGATAGGCTACTCCAATCCAAGCTTACTAAGCCTCCACTAACGGTATCAAAAAGTCTTGATATGGCGTTCAAAGTGTATTCTACAGGCACAGAAAAAATATGAGGTTTTGTACAGAAGAAGAAGAGGAGAGTAAAACTTTACAGACAATGCATATTTATACAGTTAGGTCGACTTACCAATGGGAAACAACATTTAAACGCATTTGAACTTGATAGTTTAGAACGATCTTAAATATTGATCAATAGAATTAGACTCACACAATACTTTCTTTAGGATATTTGATGAATATCCTAACAATTATATAACATAGGTTTTGACATACACACTAGTACTAAATGTTCTTGACTGACGAATCAATTAAAAGTACTTTTCCCTGTAACACTGTCTAGTTTTAATTAATTCTTTCTTCTAGTTTTCTGACAATCATAGTTATGAATAGTTCCTTCCCATTGATTTAGTATTCATTTGAATGTGAAGGAGTTGATGTGACAACAGAATCGTATCCTATTCTTGTGACAGTTAACTATTTGTTTACATTTCTACTTGGAAAATTTATTTATGTTGTATCAGTGAAGTAAGTAGATGTCAAATGTGTGGCACTGTTAGGATATTGATATCAAATATCCTAAGAGAATCATTTTTGGAAGTCTAATTCTATTGGTCAATATTACGGTCGTCCTAACTATCAATGTCACAGACTTCAATGTTGTTTCCTATTCGACCTAACTGTATAAATATGCATTATCTGTAAAGCTTATTACCCTTTCCTTTATTCCTTCTGCACTCGACCCCATAAACAACTTCATCTAATGGTGTTGTGTTCTGATATATTGAAGATTTGGGAACAGTAGTTGAGGTCATATTGGAATATCTGAATTTGATCAATCGGTACGATTTCGAATAGCTATATAGCCTTAAGGCCTAACTTCAAACATTGGTAAAATTGAAGTCATGTACCGTTGATAAGTTCCATGGTGTGTTGTTCCTTTCCAATGTGTTCAATGAATGTGTGTTCAAAGCTATCACTGGACAATTTCCATCAGTCTACTGTTCTAATTATCTTTCGTAAATACATTTTTGTTACAGAGCAACTACGGACAATACGTTGTATGACATTTATGAAAATGAATCAAATGAACAATACAATCCTGTGACAACTGAAGTTCCTCCAGAAACTACATCTTATATACTTGAACAAGGACGATGTGAATGCCTTTGTTAGTGAAAATTATCAATTGACTGTGAATTTTTCAATTAAAAAAAGTTCAATATAAAGAATTAATTGCATTTATTCTGATTTTAGTGAATTTTAATTATAACTTTAGCACATAAACATTAGAAACACACAGGGAAAGAATAAACTAAAACTTTATGACTAGATTGCAAATAAAAGCTGGGTTAGTCGAATATCAGAGTGTAAGTTAATCTATTCGTATTTTCGATGTTTATTTAGAAATATACATAACACAACATGGTATAGTCTTTTTACTTTGAAATGAATAGCCAAATGCGTAACACTATAAAAAAGAGTAGCTCCATGTTGTACAGAATTTGTGTGCAATCTTTGTTCAAAGGGAATCGAACTGTGTATACAAATTCATTTCTATATATCTGCCTATCGTTTGCGTCCGTAAGTATGCACATAATTATCTACCAACTTACGTATTAGCTAACTCGAGCATGTCAGCTCATTCTAGTTTTTCTGTAAAGTCAATACAAGTCTACCTAATATCGATGGCTACAGGCTGTGGATGACATGAGTCAAAACCGTTTGTAGTTGCGCAGGTGTATCCATTCTTTGTGTTCTCTCACATCCTAACCTTCTGAATTCTTCACAACCTTTATCTTCTTAAGTTTATTTCACTAGATTCCACTTCTTGAATAATATCCTCGAACCCTAATCTCTCCGATTACTGCTAATACTCCTACTACTATGGAATTTGAATAGATGGTATTGGCAACTTGAACTTATATACTTAAGTACCGAATTCTACAATGTAACTGACAGAAATCTTAATCTGACAAATCAGTCTTACAATTCTGGAATAACTTTTAAAACCTAACCTTTTCCCATCATATCGAGTCTCAGTTAGTGACAAAAACTCTATGGCGTGATAACCATAACACTAGCCCATTTTTTAATAGATGAACTTAGTTTTTCCTCTCTACAACAAGTAATAATTAGACATGGGAGGATCAGAGCTATTATCTCACTGACAATTTATAGGTTTTAGCTGTTGATTGTTGTACAAGAACTAACTAGCCGGCTTTTTCTGATGAACTGATCGCTTAAGACGGTTAGTAAATTATAATCCTACCAAAAATGATACTATCAACTTTAAAAATACAGTGAAATCAGTAGTAAATAAAATATAACTTATGTATTTTACTGGATGATTAGATAAAGCATAAGTTCCAATCAGTTAAACTATAAGGATCAATTTTATAATGACAACAGTAATGTATAATTCGAAAAATATGTTCGTATAATTATAACGATCAGATCAAAAATCAGTTGTATTTGAAAATATCAACTATGTAAGTTTTATTCCACAAGTTCGGCGTCTTTCGAATGAAGCACTATACAAACTAAATAGATATATATCAACAAGGATTATGTCGCTTTCGTTTGTATGATTAAAAAATTAAGAATATCCGGTAGTTGTGAAGATGATACACATATGCAGTGTTTGATAATGCTACCATCCGGGACCTTTTTCTAATATCTAAGGGTCCCAGAGTAAATGAAAATAGAAGAACAGGATGAATAGGTGCAAAGATATATTGTAAGAATACTGGATGCGTCAATGTGTGGGGACAATCTAAGCTAACCAGCTACTGTAGGAAATGAGCAGTGCGGCGAAAGAAACAATGATCTAGCGTGGATGCCTAATCAAGTGTCTTCAGTTAGTGATTCATCCTCTAGTAAAACCAATAACGTCAGTATCATTAACGAATAACAAATGGTCAGTTAGTCAGCTACAACTTAGAACTTCGTATGTACGTACGTCAGTGTTCAAGTTGACATAACACAATAGCACAGAGATGCGATTGTCAATTCAAATCCCATAGTGGTAGAGATAACAGAAGTATGAGCAGTAATTGGAGAGATTAAGGTTTGAAGATATTATTGAACAAGTATAATTCAGAGGAATAAATTTTAAAAGATAGAGGTGATGAATTCAGAAGATTAGAATTTGACAGAAGTCAAATAATAGCAAACGATTTGGTGACATGTTATTCAAGGTCTTTAAACATCAGCTACTACTGTTCTACCAAGTAGTCTATACCTATTAACATGGATTTTAATGATTTACTCGCCATCAAACCAAGTACTATAATCAATGACAAGACATAAAAACCTCCACCAATTTTTTTTTCAAACAATTCAAGTGAATAAAAATACCCAATCATGCAATGAGCAACCAATCAGAAACGACCAAATGAGAAGGTCACTTGATGACAAGCAGAAAAGCTCTACAGGATGGATAGATACCATTGGTTAAGAAATGGATTCGTTTTCTAAGGGGAAGGAATATATACATACATAACACAAGCAGCAACTTAAAAAACGATTCATCACTTGTTATGATTATGATTAAAATCAAATTCAACGAAGGATTTACTTTTTTATTCAATACTAGATTTGATTAGTTTCAATAATAATAATAATAATAATAATAATAATAATAATAATAATAATAATAATCAGATTGAGGTATAAGAAGAATAGAAATCTGACAAGTCTGTACAACAACAACCAACAAAAAAGAGTCTCATGTTTGAAAAAAAACACAAACACACACACACACACACACAAGTAAAATCGATAGATATAAAAAAAGAATAATAATCAAGAATAGTTTTATTCATTGTTGAGAATTGAAGAGTCCACATGCAATGCATACAGATATATATATATACATGTACACATATACCACCTATCTATACATAAATTTGTATATATATATATATATACGCTTATAAAAATAACACATATACATACACCTGATGAGAAAAAATATACCAAAAATAAAGGTAAATTTTCTATTAATATATATAATTATGATTATTCAAATTGTGATTATGACTTGTTTATCCAAAACATATAAACGAACGCATTTCTGTAACAAATAAATGAAAATATTGTTGAAAATCTGATCGACTTGAACGAGTTGGTTTATTCTCATGAAAACAAGTGATATATTTATTAGAATGAATAATTTGATTGCCAGTAGATGATGATTGATTCAATTCAATAGTATTATTATGATTATTATTATTATTATTATCTGGATTACAATAATTGCCTAAATGTTCAAAAGCATCACTTAAACGTGTTTGCATAGCAGGATTGTCACAATTGCTAATCCATTGATGTACAAGATTAGAGTAAGCTTCCTATATTAAAAGAAAAAAAAATCAATAAAAATTGTTAAGGATTTCATTGATATTCTGAATGGCAATTATGGTAAATCAATCAAGGCAATTCACCATGAGTCAATAACCACAATGAAACACAATATATGAATACACGCTAAAGGCACAAGTAGGCAGATAGGTGTACTTTTTAATAGTCAGAGTAATTAACGGTAATTAGTAGGACATTCTACTTAGACAATCTTGGAGTTAAGAGATTCTCTAGTCGACTAGTGAGTGATGTTATACTAATTAAACAAATGATAATTTATCTGAATTGAAATCCTTTTTAATGTACAATTTAGAAATTCAACTGCTCCTCTGGAGATTGGTTGTATTACCATACAACTAGTAAACATCTTTCAGTATGGGTTTGGAAAGGGCCAGATAAAAACAATGCGTAACTCTATATTGGCACACCTGACTGATTGTGGTCATAATACAGATAAAACTGAATCAGTTCAAATGATCTATCATATACTCCAGTCATTTCACAAAACAAGTTCGATCTCATCTCCTCTTACATCTGAAAGAATCGCATCATCCAACCCCAATTTATGGGCTCAAAAGAAATTCGTGACTGTTATTAGTGTCATTATTATCTCCACATTCTGTATTATTCCTGTTATTTCTTTGACTCTTCTATCTATTTATTACAAGGTCAAAGAGTGTAGAAGGACACCTTTCAGAGTAGTGATTTACTGATTCATAGAGACTACTAGACTTCAAAAATTATGGATCTACAATTTTTCAACCAAATTCTACGAATGTTGATCGGACGATAGGTATACTATCACTAGCCCCCCATACATAAACAAAAATGTGTTTATCACAGCAAACACAATGTTCACTTAACTACAGCAATTACAAGTGAGTGTAGACAATTTTACTACAAAATGTATCCACCAATCACTTAAAGTATACAAACCGATTATTCTCACGCCTGTAATTCGTCATGTGTACATCAACAATTGAATAGGACTAATCCTAATCAAATGATTCTGATTGATAGGTCGGTTGATAAATACAGCCCGAACTTGACGTGGTGGTCGAGCTTGCCTATCGTCATGACGCAACCGAGCTATATTGGCTGCAACTTATGTTCCTGAAGGTTCTACCATGCCAGGCAGGTCGATTGAAGAACAATGAGACTAAAAGCAGCTACCCAAGGTCTGAGGGAGAAGTCAAAATGCTGACTGTGGTCATGCACCCAGGTCTCAAAGACCAAGACTAATCTACCTTCCTTTTCAGGTTCTTCAAGAAACAATCTTCCACGGTGAGAGCAGCAGGGAAGTGACGTCCGCCCTCATACTCGTAACAGCACGAGAGACCGAATTGGTCAAAATCAAATCCTGGGACAACCGAGTAAGCAATGCTGTCGTTAGGAAACGAGTACTAGGTAGGAATGGAAAATCAGTAGATGAAGCATGTTTTGCAGTGTAGGAGTGAATTGGAAAAAAGTTAGGGGCGGCCAGACCAAAACATGGCACAAATCCATGAAGTTACCGACAAGTGGATTGAGTCATGTTGGTAGATGTAGGCTACCTGGTTGGGGTCCGCGAGACGAAAGTCACCAATGGTTAGAGACCTTGAACGATATGGCTCGGAATCGTCTGCAATGGCGCAGCCACTCCTTGTGTTCTCTCTAATTCTAACCTTCTGAATTCCTCATAATCTCTATCTTTCTCTTTACAAATTTATCTTGCTGAATTATACTTCTCGAATCGTATCTTCGAACTATAATCTTCTCCATTACTGCTAATACTTCTACTACCTCTACCACTATGGGATTTGAACTGACATTTTTGTCTCTGTGCTGATGTCGTATGGCAACCTGAACTGATGTACTTACATACGAAGTTCTGCGTTGTATCTGTCTATCTGACAATTACAGAAAAAAAAGCAATCACCCTAATATATCAAAATATGATAAATTGTAAACATGGAAACATATTAATTTACCGGACTTAAATGAATTAAATTCAGTAGAGCAGATGAAAATGATACTTCCAAATTGACTGAATAACTTTCTTTTGTTAACAATGTGAATAAATCCGATAAGAATTGTGTATTCAAACCAATCACATTGATTAAACGAATAGCATTTTGTAAATCTTCCATAGGATAAGAATTTGGACGTGATCTTATCTCTAAAAAATGATCTGTCAATGAAATAACAATGTCTAAACATTGTTGAATCACTGAATTGTCAACACATCCTACAGTATATGATGATGTAGATCGTGCGGTCGATGTAGATTTATTGGGATTTGATGATTGACTGACATTTAAACCAAATATACCAAATCGAAGAAGGCGACCAAAAGAGGAAAGTTGTTGATCTGTGAGTCGACCAAATCCCTGAGCACGTAATTCACAAGCATATGAGGCTAAAGAATAAAATGTTTGACATAATTCTGGAATCTGAAAAAAAAACAAAGTATGACACATAATAAGTAAATCAATAAATATATATAACAATAGGTTCATGTACCATTGCCACAAATAATAATTAAATTACGCGGTTGTGAAGATTGTTAAGTTACGCATTTGAAATGATAGACCACAATTAGAAACATGGAAGCACTGAACGGATGGTATAGGACTCACCAGCAGTGCGCATCCACGACTCCTCCACCTCACGGAATTTGAACCCAGGAACTTCGGTCTTCTGCGCGACCAGTGAGCGCGTATCTAACGATGTTAACGTCTATTTTCGATCAATTCACGGAATTGCGCTACCTCATATACAGTCTTCGGTAGTTACTGTGTACACCCTAAAAGGTTGAACTTCACTGGTCAACACTCTCCACTAGAACTCTGAAACGTTTCCTCACGGAGCTAGTCACCAGTGAGCACAGGTAATTGCATTACGAGGTTGTGAAGATTGTTAAGTTGCACATTTGAAATCATGAATCGATCACGACCAAAGGTCCTGGGTTCGAATCCTACGAAGTACAGGGATCGTGGGTGCGCATTGCTGATGAGTTCCACACCAGGACGAAGCGGTCGTCTGGTGCTTCCAGGTTACTAATGGTGGTCTAACATTGATCGATTCATGATTTCAAATAATAATTAACTCATTCAGAAAGGTATTTGGATGTGAGTATTAATCAAAATGAGACAGCTAGCTCGTTGGCCAAACTTAAGCGCAGTAAGGTTTGAACATTGAACTGAGTAACTGAAAATTGAACGTCTAATTATTATTATGATTAGAAAACAAATTATTTATTGAAAAAGGTAATTGGAATTAAACTACAAGATTAAGAGTTTGCACACGAAACAGAAGGTACTGAAGTCCGATCCAGACATGCAGAAGAGTACCATAACGGGATGAAACAACCATTCACTGGTTCCAAATTTGTAATAGTGATTAACAGATAACATGATAAATCAAGTAGAATACGTAAATATGAACTTGAAGAAAGGTGAACAACTCATTTAGCTACATTTCTATTTCTTCCTTCCACTTGGTAAATCAGCATTTCATCTAGGTATTATTTAAACTTGAAAACATTGAACCAGTCAACCGTATATCGTTTCCACACCATAAATATGAACTCAGTGCATAGTTTTAGTACTAAAATTCGAAATAATTCAAACGCATTTGGATGTAACACAAACTTATACTACTGAAATCTATTACAAGTAGTAAAAAAAAAGCGTTAAATACAAATCAACTTACTGTTAATGTAGATTCTGTTATTAACGGTAATAAATATCCCAGGCCAATAACAGCTGCATCCACTGTCGGAATAGTACTACTTAATGCATCTTGTGAATTAATCGAATCAGGTTGAATCACTAGTTCATCGTTTTCTCGAGACATCACTATAGCACCGGTTAGACGTAATTCAAATTCATGATACAGTACACGATTTAGCAGATTCAGCAAGTATTGCAACTCTTGAATTTGATCATCTTCTGCTGTTGTATCAAAATTTAATTTACCTACAATTTAATTTGAAATAAAAAAATATAGTAGGAAAAAAAGTTACATTTGAGTTACTGATTGTTGAATAGTGAGTGGTGGGTTAACAGTAGATATATAATTCAGAATATATACATTTTGTCCAATGAGGAATTAATTTATCAGCTGAATGAAAAATGATACCTGTATCCCTAGTGTTAATGCTGACATATATAGTGAGAAATTTAAACTCATTATCTACTGCTCACTTCAAATATTAATATGTTCATATAATCACTAGATATTAAACAACAAAAGTTGTCAGTAACTTTATGGATATCTGCCATGTATTGGTTTGGCCGCCCATAGCTTTCTTTCAACTTACGTCGGTGGTTGGGCATTCGTAACACGTGTCTCAACCATCTCAACTGATGAAGTTTCACTACTTCATCTATTGATTTGCCATCCTTACCAAATACCCATTTCCAAACACCAACATTGCTTACTCGAAGACCCCAGGATATACAAGCACAGCACCAATCTTTTTCATTGTTATTTATACCGGCTACTATAACGAACGAAGATGGCAAAATCGGACAAAATAAATGATTGATTAGAAAAAGACACAATACACTAGCACACTGCGTAAATCTTAATCTTTCCGCTTATATTTGCAAAACAAGTGGACTATCGGCTGTTTTCCCCCCATACTCTGATTGCATCATACACTCTTTGCTTCAGGAGTAACTCTTCAGAGTGACAGTGCACCACAGTTCCACTGCATACGTTGTGAGTATTATACACCGCACCAATGACTTTACTACTCTAGGATTGGGAATAACAATTTTATATTTCTGTGTTAATGTAGTATGATAACTTGCATTGATATACGTACGTAATTGCACATACGTACCAAGTTCTACACTGATATTAATTGACTGGCGTAAATTCATCTTCACCCTTAAACAAGTAGAATCAAACAATCGGAAGACGAATTGTCAATGTAGTAAATTATTATTACATGATGAAATGTGTCAATTTTGTAAAATTCAAATAAATAAATATATATATTTACCTTGTGTATTTTTAGTATAATTTCTGCATAATACAACTGTCCAATTTAAAAATGAACCAGATGCATATGGTATAATGGTAGAGTTAGTTTTTATTGATTTATTATTTATTTCTAATAATAATGTTGATTGTACATTTAAACAAGAAACATCATTTGATGATACAGATGACGCTGATAATGATGATGATGATGGTAGACTGGCCAAATAAATTAAACATGAATCAGCAACATCAGAGAATAAACAAAATATTGATTGTATAGCTTCAGAATAATTATGACATTTCTAATAATATAAAAATGAAAAAAATAAGAAAAGAAAAGGAAAAAAATAGCAAAAGATAATATAATGATGATTATGTGTAACAGCCAGACAGATACAATGCAGAACTTCGTACGTAATTACATCAGTTTAAGTTGCCATTACCATATCAGCACAGAGAGACGCAACTGTCAATTCAAATCCAACAGTGATAAGGATAAAAGAATTGTTAGCAGCAATGGAGAAGATTAGGAAGCGAAGATATAATTCGGTATGTATAATTCAGTGAGATAAATTTAGAAGGAGGAAGGCAGAGGTGATGAGGAATTCAGAAGGTGAGAATTAGAGAGAACACAAAGAATGAATGCATCTGCGTCAGTGCAAACAATTCTGAGCCATCTCGTTAAAGGTTCCTAACCATCAATTACTATCGTCTAGTGGACCCCAAACAGGAAGCCTGCATCTACCAATATGGCTCAGTCCACTAGTCAGCGACTTCATGGATTTCTACCATTAGATACGGAATTAGTGATAACAGATTTTGATCTCTGAGGAGAAAGCATTTAATTCGTCCCGCACAAAGTGTTCTACTAAATGATAAAGTAACTGATTAATGTTATACAACTTTCTTTCATTTGGAAATTCAACTAAGATTAGTCAGTGATATAGAACTATGAAAAATAAAACACAGAACAGTTTATGTAATTAACTTTTAATTAATAAAGTACTTTGTAATTTTAATTACAAAACCAAACAAATGCAAATGATAGAGATTTGTCAGTTTTACACTGCCAACTTTTTCACATTCATCCGTTATTACGATTATGAGGGTGGATGATACTTCCTGGCTGGATTGGAAGAATCGGATTGGTGTTGGTTTTAGCGAACTAGGAGCGTGACTGTAGAGCCCAACGGAGAACGAGTAGAGATCAGTCAGACATAACCTTCTTAAGGGAAGTTTTCAACGCATTAGCTCTGTAAAAAGCTTAACAACCGGAGAAGGAAGTCCGTGGGGTAATGTGAGGTGTGACATATTTAAGGCCAACCATTTTTAACCCCTTACCCACATCATGGGAAGGCAGCATCCCTACTGTTGTCACAACCCTCTACAGTCAGCAGTATGACTTCGCCCTCAGATCTTGAGTTGCTGCTTTTAGTCTCACCATTCTCCAATCGACCTACTTGGCAGAGTATAACCTACAGGAACATTTTTTCCAGTCAATATAGCTCAGTTGGGTCATTACGATAAGGAAGCTTGACCACCATACGCGTTTAGGTAACAGCTACTGCCTGGTATTGTATTACAACAAAACTAAGCAGAACAATAGCAATTTCAACTGATCTAAATTGATTCAAGATCTATCTAATATGGTAAGTTATAAATTCACTTAGAAAACAAACAAATATTGAATTTCTTTGACCATATAAAAATGATTTTCTAAATGGTTGATAGGAATTTAGTCAGAATCTATGATAATGCAATGTTTTTTGTATGAGATATGTGATAAACAGTTTATGGGTTACACAGTACTGTTTGTAATCAATCATTTGAAAATCAACATGATCAAACATACCTTTTACCTAAAAACACACACAAACATACATAAATAGAATTATAAGGCATCCGGAAAACTATGAATGATATTCTCTGTAAAGGAATATTCGTATGCTCAATGAAGCACGATTTATACTACTTTATCGGACATATATAATTTGTCAAAATTCTACGATAAACATCATGGTCGTATTATTGAGATACATGACTTATTCTCGATTTTTATTCTATAGAAATTTGCTTATTACAAAGTACTGCAAATCCAGCCGAAAGTGAGGAGAGTTTGTTCACTCTCTCGAAATTCTCAAATACGACCACGTGTTATAAAGCCATTGCTGGGGCTTAAAATCAAGTTGATCACTCTAACAGAGTTTGAAAATCCAGATGACAAGCCATCGGAACAGATGGGCTCCAGGATCCTGATGGAACAAACAACGTATGAACTTATCATTATTGATTGTCTACCATGGGAACGCATTAAACCGAACGTTGCTCCACCACTGCCTTCTGAAGTCAGTCAGTCAGATGCAACGTAGAACTTTGTACGTAAGTACATCAATTCATGTTGCCATACCACATCAGCACACAGATATAATTGTCAATTCAAATCCAATAGTAGTAGAGGTAGTAAAGGTATTAGAAGTAATCGGAGAGGTTAGGATTAGAAGATATTATTCAAGAAGTATGATTCAGTGAGAAAAGTTTAGAAAGTCAAAACTAGGGGGGTTGAAGAATCCAGAAGATTAGGATTTGAGAGAACACAAAGAATAAATGCACCGGCGCCATTGCAAACGGTTTTGAGCCATGTCATTCAGGGTATCTAACCATCGATTATTGTCATCTCACTGACCCCAACCAGGTAGTCGACACCTAACAACATGACTCAGTCCACTTGTCAGTGACTTCATGGATTTGTGCCATGTTTTGGTTTGGCCGCCCCTAGCTTTCTTCCAACCTACTCCTACACTACAAAACAAAGCTCGTCGAGGCAGTCGGTGGTTAGACATACGCAGCACATGTCCCAACCACCCGTTTCCTAATAACAGTGTTGCTCATTCGGGTGTCCAAGGATATACGAGCAATGCTTCGAAGACATCTATGATCAAAAACAAATAACCGACGAATATCTCCTACTCTCATTGGCCATGTTTCACAGCCATAAAGTAAGACGGAGCGAACTACTGCGCAGTACACTCGTCCTTTAGTCAGCGAAAGGATATACCTTCTGAAGTAGACATTTAGGTCATAGACTTAAACAGTAGTATATATATATATATATATATATATATATATATATATATATATATATATATAGAGAGTAGAAAGTAAACTGGCAGCATTCACTTACCAATACTAAATAATTTGCACTATGTGATAAAAATGGACCTAGTAGACCATTCCAAACTAATGAAATTAAATCTGTGCTTGAATGACTACTATTATTTGATGCTATGGAGCCAATAGCACGTGCAATACCTCTGAGTACAGCAGTACAATTCACTAACATTTCAATAGCTGTAGCATCATGAATTGAATGAGGAAAATTGGTTTCACCATCATGTGAAATAGTATTAATGACACGTAGAACTTGTTCGCGTATTTCACGAATAAGCTATTAGTAGTGTGGTGGATCAAAGACGATTGGAAGAATAAAACGAAACAAAACAAAAAGGTTAATAGATATATACATCAAGAAATTTATAAAAAAAACAATAAGATATTGCAAGGAACTACTAAAAATCTGAATCACATTATCATCAAATATCCTAAATAAATTATTTCGCGAGTCTAATTCTATTGGTCATCCTAAACTATCAAGTTCAAATGCATTTAAATGTTGTTTCCTATTGGTTAGTATTCACAGTAGACCTAACTGTATTGTCTGTAAAGTTTTATACTCCTCTTCATTTTCTGTACAAAACCTCATATTTTCTGGGTGATTGTAGAATACACTTATCACGCTATATCAAGACATTTCGATACCATTAGTGGGGGCATGGGACGCTCAGATTAGAGTAGCCTATAGTGTCAATGGATCACTTGTCTTAACTCTCGTTTATTGACTAAGGTGAACTCGTAATAGTTTCAAGCATATTAGTTGTCAAGCGTAACAAAGTTAGATGGAATATAGATGTTTTGAAGCTGCTAATTTCGACGAGATTATTATTATACTATTCTGTTTAATTGCTTGTAAAAGCAAATAAACTTTGGATGAAACTAACAGTAAACGACAGTGTATGAACAGAAAGTAATTTTTACATTCCCTGCAGTCAGTTATGTCTAATACGAAAATCAACTCGGGTCACTTGTGTTATACACTGGTGCCAGGTGGTAGTCTACACTTCAGCTGTCAATGACTGCATGGACTCGTGCCATGATTTATCTGGTAGCCTTCAAAGTTTTTCCAGCCTACTCTTACATCAGACACCATTGCTTGTTGAGGTAGTCGATGGTTGAGCATACGTAACACATGTTACAACCACCACTTCACTACACTACTTTATCAGTTGCTATCCTCCTCACCTAGTACCTTGTTACTGACACTAGCACTGCCTACTGGACTGTAGCAGGATAAACGAGCAATGCTTCTAAGACACCTATGATCGAATACTAGTTTACCCTACTAATATCCTCTAATCATAGTGTGCCTATGTTTCACATCCCTATAAAAGAACGTGACGAGCTACTGTGCAATAAACACGTCCTTTGCTTAGTGGCCGGATATCTCGCCTCTGAAACAAGTAACGCGAGTTGATTATCGTATCAGACATAAATGATTGCAGTGAATGCAAAAAAATTAGGTATTTATTACTTTCTGTCCATAAGATCACACTTTGCAATAGCCCCAGTGTATCCATTCTTTGTCTTCCCTAAAATTCTAGGCTACAAAATAATTATTTCACGAATTTATAATTCCTTGAATCATATCAACTTCAATCCTGTTATCTTTCTGATTACCACTAATAGCGCAACTATCTCTACTATTCTATGATTTGAAATGACAAATTCATCTTTCTCTATTAATGTGATAATGGCAACTTGAACTGATATGTATGATGTACAAACTATATCTATAGAAATTATCAAACTAAAATAGAACCAACTACTTGTAATAGTAAAGTATCCGAATTTTCTTCATTAGTTTGATTCTGTTGTTGTTGTTGTTGTTGCTGATGGTGAGTTAATGCCGATGATGATGATGATGATAATTGTGCTTTATCAATAATCCAACTACCGCATAAACAAGCTTCAATCAGTTGAATTAAACTATCCGTTGATAAATTAGGCCATGCATGTTCTGCAGCTTGAGGACCACAAACTATAGTGCATATATCATACCATGCAGAACAAGCTAAATTAGATGATCTAGTTTAAGAATACAAAGAAAATAAAAAGTAAATGAATAGGGTGTTTATGAGAGGCTTTAATTTTTTATGCAGTTGATGTGTATAATGCAACGTGTGGTCAAGCTTGTCTATCGTGATGACCCAACCGAGCTATATTGGCTGGAACATATGTTCTTGAAGGCTCTATCATGCCAATCAGGTCGATTGGAGAACGAGAAGACTAAAAGCAGCTACTCAAGTTCTGAGGTCCAAGTCATAATGCTGACTGCGGAGGAGTGTGACAGCAGTAGGGTGTTGTCCTCGGACAACCAGCATCTGCAGCGATGCTGCCTTCTCACAAGGAAGGAAGGGTTAGAAAAGATCGACCCTAAAAATGTCACACTTCACCCTACCTCACGGATTTCCGTCTCCGTCGGTAAGAGTGCCCACTAAGGGCTTTCAAGAGCGGAGCTAACACACAAATAACTTCTCATAAAAAGGCCGTGGGTGACCGGCCTCAAGCAGTTGTCCTTTGGGCTATGCGGTCAAGCACCCATGCCTCTAAAACCTTTCCATGTTCCCCAAGAAACACCCTTCTAAGGTGTGGACAGCCGGGAAGTGACGACCGCCCTCATAGCCGTAACAGATCTCGTCAGCCAGCTAGAAAGTAGAACTTCGTTGATACGTACAACAGTCATACTGATCTGTTCCTCTGTCAATGTCGCAAGAGGATTCTTGGTCTTTCATAAAGACTGACACAATAAGAGATCGAGAACAATCAGATTGGATTAAATCCACTTTCTAGATCCTAGCTAAGATCTCAGTTAATCTGCCTGCTAAAACTGGACCAACATCCTTAAAACTCCAGAGGTTTAGTCAGTTAGCAACAACGTAGAACATACGTACATACATTAGTTCAAGTTGCCATATCACGATAGCACAGATACAATTGTCGATTTCAAATACCATAGTGAGAGAGGTAAGTAGAAGTATGAGCAGTTATCGGAAAGATTAAGGTTTGAAGACGTAATTCAAAGAGTATAACCCAGTGAAATAAATTTGAGAACAGGAAAATGAAAGTCACGAAGAATTCAGATTAGAATTTGGGAGAACATAGAGTGGATGCACCTGCACCATTGCAAACCATTTAGAGCCATTTCATTAAAAGATTCTAATCATCGTTTCTTATCGTTCACCGACTCCAACCTAATACTGTACACCTATCAACATGGCTCAGTTCACTTGTCAGTGGCTTCATGCAATTGTACCATGACTTGATTTGATCATCCCTTAGCTAACTTCCAACCTACTGCTACATTACAAAACATCGTTTGTCACGGCAATCCGGTGGTTGAACATACGTAGCACACATTTCAACCATCTCTCCACTGATAAATATTGCTATCCTGTTAGACAAGTTCAAGTGACAAATAGAAATCTCTGGAAACTGTGAAACTATTCCTTGAGAGCAAAACAAACAATCATATCACCATTTTAAATTGACTAGAAGCTGATCACAGATTAGAAGCACGAATCAGTCATTATGATGTGAATCAATCCTAATAATAAATCTTCCAAACTTACACAAAAATGGGTGTTGACAGAATACAAATCTAATTTAAACAAGACTACACAAGTTGAAGCACATTGAATGTGTTTGTTATATAATAACTAATCAAAACTACTGGATATAGAAGTGGGAGTCAGTCAGTCAGTCAGATGCAACATAGAACTTTGTACGTAAGTATATCAGTTCATGTTGCCATACCACATCAGCACACAGATATAATTGTCAATTCAAATCCAATAGTAGTAGAGGTAGTAAAGGTATTAGAAGTAATCGGAGAGGTTAGGATTAGAAGATATTATTCAAGAAGTATGATTCAGTGAGAAAAGTTTAGGAAGTCGAAACTAGAGGTGTTGAAGAATCCAGAAGATTAGGATTTGAGAGAACACAAAGAATAAATGCACCGGCAGCCATTGCAAACGGTTTTGAGCCATGTCATTCAAGGTCTCTAACCATCGATTATTATCATCTCGCGGACCCCAACCAGGTAGTCGACAACTACCAACATGACTCAGTCCACTAGTCAGTGACTTCATGGATTTCTGCCATGTTTTGGTTTGGCCGCCCCTAGAAGTGGAAGTAGACGATATAGATGTACATTTCTGTACACAAAATGCATTTCATCGATGGAATGGATTAGTTAAGTACAAATAAAACTTTCTTGGCTGGAAAATGTTTCAATCAATCAATCAATCAATTAATCAGTTTAAAAAGAAAAAAAACCCAACATCGTGATAAACACTTACGCATTCGGCGAATGTACACTAAGTACACTTAATAAACGTGTCAATGCATTTAATACTTGTGGTTCATGTGACCATTTATCTAAAGCTAAACGTGTACACATTAATAAACTTTGAATACATATTCGATTAATATCATGACAATTATCTGACAAATGATTTTCTTTTGTTTCATTGAATTGATTTTCACCATTCAATGTTTTATTTGCTGCTGCTGCTGATGATGATGAGAATGATGATACTATTGTACCTTGATGTGCTGGTAATGGTTGGATAGAATCCGGTTGAAGTATTGTCATAATTGGTGATCTAGAAATATTCGACTAAATAATCAATTGAACAAAAAAACAATGAAGAGTGTAGTAAAGTAAAATGATATTATTTTGTTACATTTTATTCACATACAAAAAGTAGTACATCTCTACTACTACTAATAGGATTTCAATGGACAATTAAACCTCAGTGCTAATGTGGTATGGCAACTTGAACCTAATGTACGTACATATATATGTACGAAGTTCTATGTTGCTGTTGACTGATTACATCTAAGCACATAAAAACTAATTTTAGGCTAGATATAAATTATAAAAAGAAATGTACTCAAGTAATGAAACACTGTTCGAGTAGTCAAAAACAAAGTAGCTGATGTATATAATAGACTACTTTGCGCCATAAGGCAGTAGAATGTTATCAGCATAAGTCAGTCAGTCAACAACAACGAACGGATAAAACTGCACCACTGCAAAGTATTCTGAGCCATGTCATTCAAAGTCTTTAACCGTCGGTTACCATCATCTCGCAGACCCCAACCAAGTAGTTGACACCTACCAACATGATTCAGTCCACTTGTCAGTGACTACATGGATTTCTGTGATATTGGTTTCGGCCGCCCCTAGGTTTCTTACAACTTATCCCTACATCACAAAACATAGCTCGACAAGGCAGACGGTGGTTAGGCATACGCAACACATGTCCCACAACCACGTGGACTGATGAAGTTTCAATACTTCATCTATTGATTTGCCACCCCTACCTAGTACCCGTTTCCTAACGACAGCATTGCTTACTCGGTTGTCCTCATAAAGGTTATTCTGTAGTAGCCCGTAACTAAGAACAGATTCGTATGCGATTTATTCCTTCACGATAATAGAACTTATGTACACCATTGGTATGGAGCCAGGATTCTTTGCATCATCAACCTACTCAGTTTACGCATCTTATACATTTGCCTCATTTAGTTCTCTTGATTTCATAAACAACATCCTTACTGCACACTTCAAGCTTGAATGCAAGTCTAGACAAACAGGTAATTTAATTACCACTCAAAGTTGGGTACATTAACCTACTATTTGATGTGTACGTAACAATGTTTGACTGTCATTTTTCTTTTGAAAATCAAAGAGTCCAACGACAAAGTAGAGAGTGGAAATCTCTCTATCCGTATCCATATGATAGTCTCACCTGACTGAATGTCAGCCAATCAAAAAATAGGAATTAAAGAATATAAGCAGATTTGAAATCATCAATCAATCATTGTCAAACCACCATTAGAAACCTGGAAGCACTTGATGGCCGTTTCGTCTAGGTATGGGACTCATCAGCAGTGTGCATCCACGACTCCTGCAACTCGCCGGATTCGAACCTGGGACCTTCGGTCTTACGCGCGAACGTCTAAACTCTGGATCAATGGGTCGGCATCTAACGGTGTTAATGTCTAACTCTGATTGATCTAGGGATTTTGCGCGACCTCACCAATTTGTCTTTCGTACATTGAGGTATCTAATGGTGGTCTAACAACGATTGATTGATTTCAAATAACTAATCTCCATAACTCGATTTGAAAATATAAACAGAGCAGGCTAAAATCAGTAAGCACACAAAACAGAATATATATACAAAATAATATAAAAAAACATGACAACTGAAACATACTAACCATTAATGTATCACGATCCACAACATTATGACAAAAATATGTGACAGCTAAACGTGTCATTAACCAAAAATTGTCTGTGATCAGCTGAGCACTACCAACCCCATAGACAACTTGTAACCATAATAAACGAAACAGAGAACAAAATAAACTGAAAGTAATAGGGGGGGAAAAAAGAAGTAAGAATTCATGAAAGTCAACAACAGCAATAAATTTAACTATGAAATACTTCAAGATACTACACAGTTTCACCATCTAGAGACAATTAAAAAACCAATGCAAACCAATGTGAATAAGTTAGAAATTAAGTAATTCATTTTAACTCTTAACATGATTGTTGTATACAATTTATTTGATACAATGAACTATTATGAAGAGCTGTTTCGGTTTGCGTGTTTCCGAGCAGTATGCTAGAGCTCATCACTAAGAAAATCCAATAGTTTTTGTAAAGACGCATACATATTAGTTAGGTGCTACTTTACACCAATGTTTGTGCTTAATGACAATAATATCAACATGAGAAACGAGTTATTTATTAAGTAATGTCAGTCAGTCAAGTACAACGTAGGAATTCATACGTACATAAGCACATCAGTTCAGGTTGCTGTTATGATATTCATCCAATATCCTAACAGAATTATTGGTCTATTCTCAGTTGATAATTTCTACTGGTCAATTTTATGGTCGACCTAAATATCAATGTCACGTGCTCCAATGTTGTTTCTTATTGGTTGTCCTGACTATCAATGTCACTCCAGATGTTGCTTCCTATCCGTCGTCATTACTGTCAATGTCACAAACTTCGATACTGTTTCCTATTAGACCAAAATGTATAAATACGCAATATCTGCAACGTTTTATAACCAGGAGCCGGTCCCGGATCCCTAGTCCGGGACCCTGATTCTCTTCTAGATCCGGATCTCTCTGGATGCTTGTTGAATACACGTTCTACTTCATATCAAATCTTGTCTTCTCATTTTCACTCAATATGGGGGTAGGGATAATCGGATTTGAGTAGCATGTCGTGTCGCCGGATCCTCGCTCTCGTTTTCCGACTAGGTAAACTCGTAATAGTTCAAGCATATCAAAATGACGTGTTTACATGCAGGCGTAACAGTCGCCATATCACATAAGCACAGAGATGCAAATATCGATTCAAATGCCATAGTAGTAGAGATAGTACAAGTATTAGAAGTCATCGGAGAGAGAGAGTTCGAGGATGTTATTCAAGACGCATAATACACTGAAATAAGTTTAGAATGAGGAAGGTAAAGGTGATGTGAAATTCGGAAGATTAGAATTTCAGAGAACACAAACAGTGGATGCATCTGCACCATTGTAAACGGTTTTGAGCCATTTACAGTATCTAACCATCGGTTAGTATTTCATGGATTTGTGCCATGTTTTGGTTTGGCCCCTAGGTTTCTCCCAACTTACTCCTCCATCACAGCGTTAGTAAGAATACCAGTTACCATTCGCATAACATAACAATGCATTATCTATGAATCGTATCAAATCTCCTATGTCATTGATACAGTCAGTTTAGTCGTTGTTCATTCTACCACTTGCAGGATTCGAATCAATGACCATCGGTCTCGTGTGCTAATGAATACTACAGCTTAACCTCTAGAACACTGATTCGTCATTCAACGGTATCAATGTCTAAGTTCAATCAGTCAAGGTACTGCACAACTTAACTCATTGTTTACCGTATTTAACTGCCTACACCCGACAGAGATGAACTCCACTGGTCACAGCTCCCACCAAGAACTCTGAGAATTTCCTCACGAAGCTAGTCACTGGTGCATACATTAACTGTTTAAGGAATCTATTAAATATCGAATGAGGAATGATACGGTAGAGTTTTGATAAACTAAGCATTCGCGCATGAAACAGATCTTGGGTTGAATTCTCGCCATTTCGAAATCGTAGATGCGTATATTAGGAGTAAATGGTTATTTAGTGCTTTCAGAGATTTCTATATTTGCCAGTTCATGATCTCAATAAAAATTTTATAAAAAGTAATTATGAAATAAGAAGAAAGACGAAACATACATTACTAACGAAGGGATATGAGTATATGGTAAATTTTCTGGTGGCCAACTACTATTTATATCAGGACATTGTACAATAGACACAAACATTAACCGACGACTATTCACGACATCAACTGTATCATTTGAACCAAGATATAAAAGTTGATGAGGAATCTGAATAAAACAAATACAACATAATACAATAATTAACAACAATCAAGTTAATATTTGAATATTGAATTTTTACGAAATGTGTACAACTGATCCAGTGACACGATGGGCTACTCTAATCCTAGCGTCCCAAGGCCCCTCTAAGTACATCAAGTCTTGATTTGGTGTAGAAAGTGTATTCCACAAGTATCCAGAAATACCAGGTTGACAAGCATACAAATCGAGTTTATTAATACATGATAGAAACGGCTTTGGGAAAGCCACAAAAATAACGTACTAAAATACCACACCAATCAATGACAGTCAAAGATTTTCCAGGTGGAAAATGTAATCTCACGGTCAACCGATGAGCCCATGCTCGAAAACATATAATCCAAAATTAGGGCCTTTTCAAGTGAGTTCTGGGGATCTAACGTCCCCAACATTAATCAATTGGTTTTTTTGAAAAAAAGCACTGTAGTTTCATTAAATGTGTACATATCTTGACTTCATCGCATACAGATACCTGAATGAGATGAATTGAGATTACAAATCTATTTAAGAATTAGCAGTTGGTTTAGGATGGTTCATCAAACAAGCTTGTCAATAAGTAGCAAATATGAATGATATTTTACTACAGAATATTAAGATCTAAACGGTAAACATATGATGATACTGACAACCTTGAATGAACCAGTTTAAAATTGAAAAAAAAACGCCTGATGATTTTAGTGCGAAATCTACATTCCAGTCATGGATAAAACTTTCATGTTATTATCAACGAAGAGTAAAAATTGGAAATATATGGTCTTGAAGATGCTTGAAATCAACAGAAATTTTTATGACAAAATCGAAAACGAGGATTTCAGATGATCCTTAAGCTAAAAATTACCAAATAGAATTGCTCTCAATACAAATCGTCTGTCAAAGTACTTGTTGTAGTAATTCAATACGTTGTCAAGAGTATTCAGTAAAGCTAGATGTTGGGGACGTCAGATCCTCAGAACGAATTTGAAAAAGGTCCTAACTTTGGATTCTTGTGTTTTCGCGCATTAGCTGCTCAGATGACCTTGAGATTACATTTCTCACCCGCGAAATCCTTGACTGTCATCGGCTGATGAACTATAATTTTAGTAGGCTATTTTTGTGGCTCTCTTAAAGACGTTTCTATCATGTATAAATAAACTCGATTTGTGTGCTTGTCAACCTGGTATTTCTGGGTGTTAGTAGAATACACTTTCTACTCCATATTAAGACTTTTCTATAGTAAGCAGGGCCGGGGACAATCGAATTAGGATAGCCTATCGTGTCATTGGTTTGATCTCGTTTATCGAGTAAGGAGAACTTGTAATAGTTTCAAGCATATCACTAGGTAAAACATCCTCTCGTTCTAACTCTGACATTCAATTTCAACAATGAGTTTCTTTAATCAATAGACAGTAGAATGACAAAGCACTGCAACTGGGCTGATGTTTGTTTATGACAAGAATCCTAATCTGAAAAAACAACAGACTCAGAAGTCTAGTATGAATTTTAATACCTAATCTTAACCGTTTCCATCATAACTCACCTCAGTTTGATATGCGTGAACAATTACGGGTTCACCTTACAAGGTAAACGGAGCGACGATCAGTGATTCCGCGACACAATAGGCTACTCTAAGCCAATCGTCCCAGGCCCCACTAACTAGAGGAAGAAGGCTTCATAAGATATGTACCACAAGCAAGCGGAAAGTACAAGGTCAACAAGCACACAACTCCAGCTTATTCATACACTGATAAGACACCCTTAGTGCGAGCGAAAAAAATAGCAAACTTAAATAACCAATCAATGACAATCAACAAATTCCCGGGTGGGGAATGCAAGTTGAAGGTCAAAATGAGCGTCTTTAGTGTAAAGACATAAAGTTCAAAATTACAAAAATTAGGACCTATTTCAAATGCGTTCTGAGGATCTAACGTCCCCAATACAGTTAGTGACATAGATTCTGAAGTAGGGGGGGGGCTGATATTCATGACACTAGCCCAACCTTTAACAAATGAACTTAGTTTTTCCTCTCTACAACAAGCAATAATTCAACATAGGAAGATTGATTATTCAGATCAATCGCATTGATAATTTGTGGGTTTTAGATGCTGATTGTTTTACAACAACTAACTAGGCGACTTTTCCTAGATAAACTGATCGCTTAAGTTCGTTAGGTCAAGTATAATTTCATAACATGCCAAACGTATGAAATTTAGCCGGATTTTTATAATTCAATAGATACTATGTATGCAGTAACAATGATAAAAATCTATAAAAAAAAACAAACAGAAACTGACTGAAAATTGTGTATCCCATGGTGAACCCATTCGTAGAACACTTGTCAATGATGCAGGACCAGAGACAAGAAAATGACCACTAATCAATAGAAGCCAATGAAGATCTTCAAATAAATTAATTGATTTTTCTGATTCACAATTTTGTAAATGAATTAATTGATTGACACGTTCATTGATTAAACGAACAAGTGTAGTGCTAGATTCGTCAGGTGTAGATAAACCACAAGATCCTACAGCGAATAAACTATCCTGAATATAATTGATTAAAAATTGTTACAAAGATAAATAAAAATTATACAGAAAAAATAAATAATTAAAATAAATACATATGTTTCGTTAGATATATTTATTGCTGGTCCCCAAATGCTCTGATACAGTTGAGAGTGAAGAGAATCAACTCTCTTCAGAATGCTTTCATCAAATGACCGCGCTTGCGTAGCCACTGTTATGAATCAGAGTGCTACTTACTCACTTTCATTTCATGACAGGGTTTAAACTGGGTTCATAAGTACGAAGCATCTACCCAGCGAAGTTGGAAATCTATCATTTCAAAATAATATTACTGATGTATTTGGTTCCAGTATTACGGGAGAGAACAAATAGCGTTGTTGGTCATCAGCTAACAAGTAAATGTAAGCCCTGACATTACTTTCTGAATTTGACCAGTAGGTCCAAGGTTCGAGTGGCCCCCTAAGAAAACCAACTGCTTCCGTTATGGCATCCAAAGAGTATCCCTGCTCACTGGCTTATTTAGCATATAAATAATTAGATGCCCTTTTTTGATTATTATAATATACGATTACATGAAGGTGGATCTTTCAATGAAATCATGAATCGAACAATGCTAGACCACTATCAGAAACGAAGAAGCACTAGACAGCTATTTTCTCCTAATACGAAACCTATCAACTGCTAATTTACATACTGCACCTAGAAATCTAACCGAGGAGAATTCGGTCTCTTGCGAGAGCACTTAACCTCTCGACCATTTGGAGCCAGCATCAAACAGTGATAATTTATAACTTGATCAACTTTGGTGGGTAAGTGCCTCACATTCGACACCGATGGGTTACGGTTTCGATATACAACTTGTATATGAATGGTTCGAATGATTCAAATACTCTAGATTCAGTTAGTTCATGATATAAACTACATACAACTACAACAATCTTTACAGTCCTTATACACTTATAACAATAATAATCACATATACTACTAACTGCCCTCGAAAAGTAACTCTGAAAGTTCTAGTTCAGTAATTACCAACGCTGGAGTTTACCCAAGGTGTGAGTGATACAGTTAATCAACAATCTTGAGGAATATAAACTCAGTGAATTGAAGATTTAGCATCTAATGTTATGGTTTGTTGACACAAATACGCCAGTAAGGTTGTAGTGCCTCCACATACATTTGAGTTTGGTCATATTTAATTTGGTTAAGCCTTTCGATTAACTGGTTTAACCAAGCCATTCGTATAGCAACGACTTATATGTACCATTGGCTTTTATTATTGTCTGGTTTGTATGAGCTGGTGTGCCTTTCTTACCGCATACGCAAATATTCATCCTATTCGCTTTGATGTTAAACTTCTCAAATATTTCGATGACTCAGACATTTCCCTATGTATATATTATACATACATTTTGATCTTATTAACTCATTCGCCAATTCTCTTGCTCGCTAGCGTGCTTGCCCTTTTCTGTGTGCTTCTAGACTGCTGGTCCATTTATGGTGTACTAAAATAAACGTATTCAACAAACTTCGTATTCGCCTTCCGATTCATCATCATCAGGCTCTATTTAGTAACGACGATGAAATTACCAGGTCTAAGAACACGTTGGAAAAAAACAGTTCGGGTATTTGAAAACAGATTGAAGATATCTGTTTACTCATGTGAATAGATTGATGATAGTTTCCGTCATAGATTACCAATATTTCAATGATCAATACATTGAATAGTTAGTTTACTTCATTTAAAGATGTTATTGTATCAATAGTATAAAATTTGTATTGGAAGCGAATTCCGAATACAGTAAGGCTGTACTAACACATGGATATTAAGCAGTCAAAATAATCGGTTTGATTAGTCTTAATAAGATGAATGTACATAATGAAGATATCAAATTGTTGAATAGAGTGACACTATTTATAGCAACTCAATTACATTTGAGTTTGTTTATGCTTAATTTGGTCACTACCTTGTCAGAGCAAAACATGGCACAAATCCATGAAGTCACTGACAAGTGAACTAAGCCATGTTGGTATGTGTACACTACTAGGTTGAGGTCCATGAGATGGTTAGAGACCTTGAACGACATGGAGTCAAATCGTTTGCAATCAAGCATATGCATTTACTCTTCGTGTTCTCTCAAATTGTAATCTTCTGAATTTCACATCACTTATACCTTTCTCATTCTTAATTTATTTCACTGAATTAAACGTCTTGAATAAAATCTTCGAACCCTAATCTTCTCCATTACCGCTAATACTTCTACTATCCCTACTACTATGAGGTTTGAACTGACAACTACAACTTTGTGCTAATATGGTATGGCGACCTAAACTGACGTACACGTACCTGTACGAAGTTCTACATTGTAACTGATTGACTGACTGATCACGCCCTAGACACATATTCATCTTATTGACTTTAATATTAGTCACTTAAATAATTCCATGTGACTCATTCATTTTCCATCTTTACATATGTACATTTTAAATCCCAGCTATTCATTCCTTAGCTGCCGCTGCATTCACTTCGTATACTTGTAGTTTTGGCAATAAATCTCGTACGGATAATAAACATTGTCAGCGCTTCATTGCCCGTCTACTGAATTTCACATACCATTAGGTGTTATATCTAATAACGATTATCGAATATGTAATCATCACAATGATTAACCAATTCTTACACAGACTATCTGCCCAAAGAGGAATATAAAGAGAGAAAAACACACACACACACACATACTAACAATATGAATGAAATCAACAAATACTACTACTACTACTAATATTATTACTACCTCTGAAGAAGTCATATCATCTTCGTCTAATTCAAGATTGATCTCTTCACTATTGTCATGTGTGTTCATCAATCGACGTAAACCAACTGGTTGTGACAGTTTTGATATGAGAAAACATTGAAATAATTGTGATTGGCGTGTTGAATTATTATTTCTTAATAATCCAAGAAGCTTTTTCATTTGTTGAGTTAATTGATCTATAAGAATGAAAATAAAGTAAATATGAGAAAAATTATGCGAATATTAGTAGTATTGTTCAAAACTTAAGAAAATATATATTCACGAATAAGCAACAACAAGAAGAAGAAAGATTCTTCTGATTTACACTTTTCACGTGATGGTGAAACGTTTGAAAAATGAAACGGTAATGTAATATATATATATATATATATATATATATATATATATATATATATATATTGTTTAGGACGTAAGATCCTCAGTTTGGAAAAAGTCCTAATTTTGGAAACTTATTTCGTTATTTTGAATCTTATGGTTTCGCGCTAAATATGCCCATTTCGACCTTCAGCTTGCATTTCCCATCCGCGAAATTCTTGACTGTCATTGGTTGATAGATTATTTTAGAGCGCTGTTTTGTGACTCTCATCAAGGGCGTTTTGTCATTGCATGAATAAGCTGGAGTTGTGTGCTTGTCGACCTCGTACTTTCTAGTTGTTTGTGGAATACATTTCTCTAAGTCTTATCAAGATTTCTTCGTCTAGTTAATGGGGCCTGGTAAGATTGGCTTAGAGTAGCCTACGGTGTCGAGGAATCACTGATCTTCGTTCTGTTTACCTAGTAAGGTGAACCCATGATTTTGAACATGTAGTATTTATACTAAGTGTCTCGTTCACTGATGATATTTCGAGAATACTATTCATGGTCTTTTTTGTTAGTAGTTTGAAATCTTCATGACAATGAAACGAGTTTGTAAACATACAAAAAATGACTAGACACAATCTTCTTGCACGAGTTCAGATGGAAGTAAGTCAACCATGCTACACAATGTTATACTTGCATTGTATATATATATATATTACTTTTGAGTAGCTATGAATTGAATGCAGGCGTTTCTTGTTTACATTTTCTCATTGATTGATCATGACCTAGTCACACATTTACTACTTAAATACTATCACTAGTAGTCTAATAATGTGTAACTGATAAAATTGAAATATCTATTCATCTTGAAATCCATTATGTAACTTGATTTTCAACTACAATTCTAATCAAAAGCAGAAAATCGTGAGTTTGATCAAAAAAAATTCACCACATATTTTGTAACTAAAAAATGAAATCAAATGAATGAATCAATAACACAAAAATTTATCTTTTCAAATTACCCGAATTTTGTAATTGTCCAGTAGTTAAAGGTAATGGTGAATTATCATCATCATCATCATCATTAACAGAATTATTGGTCGATGAATTGTGATTCTTTTGAAAACGATTAGTCTGTTGTTCACTGGATGATGATGGAATTAAATCGATTAGATCATTCCAACAATTGAATAAACGTTCAACAGCTTCATGAGCTAATTGACCATCATCATCTTCGGCTTCTTTGGAACATTCTGCTTCCATTCGTATACACTGATCAAAGTAATTGGTATGTAGTGATAAAGGAATACAAATTATCAAGTGAATAGTTAGACATTTTCGTAGTTTACACTTACTGGCAAATAGGATTGTGTAATATTAGTATTATTATCAAACTCTTGAAAACGTATTAAGAAGTCTGTTCAATATCCAAATATATTTATTAATTCATATATTATTTATATCGTCCTACCTATTACATAAATCCCGATTTGTAATTGCATTATTATCTCTTGACTATATTTATTCATATTATCATTCCTTACACTAAGGACGAGTCTATTGTGCAGTAGTTCGCTAAAGAGGCTCCTACGGATGGGTGGCAGATCAATAGATGAAGTAGTGAAACTTCACCAGTTGAGGTGGTTGAGACATGTGTTACGAATACCTACCCACCGACTGCCTCGTCGAGCTACGTTTTGTGATGTAGGAGTAGGCTGGAAGAAAGCTAGTGGCGACCACACCAAAACATGTCAGAAATCCATGAAGTCACTGACAAGTGGATTGAGTCATTTTGGTAGATGTGGACTATATGGTTGCGGTCCGCGAGACGGAAGTCACCAATCGTTAGAGACCTTGAACGACATGGATCCAAATCGTTTGCAATGGCGCCGGTGCATCCACATTTTGTCTTCTCTCAAATTCCAGTCTTCCGAATTCTTCGTCATCTCTATCTTTCTCTTTCTAAATTTGTTTCACTGAATTGTACTTCATGAATCATATCTTCAAACCTTAATCTTCTCTATAACTGCTAATACTTGTACTACCTCTACGACTGTGGGATTTGAACAAACAGTTGCGTCTATGTGCTAATGTGGTGGTGAACTTATGTACTCATGTACGAACTTCTATGTTGTACCTGAAAGACGGACTGAATCTTTACACGGATATTTATTATCGTAACATTAATAAATAGTATATTACAAATAATCTTAATTCCACATATGATATACTTTAAAATGATGTGTACCACCTAAAACTTGGCTACTTTGAAGATTATTAACTCATACATTTGACTGTAAAACTTAAATATTATTTATGGAAGAGAATATTCTTTGTTTGGCAAAGACTTAGTGAATCATGAAAGCTGCTATCCAAACGATATATGTGTTTATTACCGATTGTATACGCAAAATACTGCGGATCAGTTGATCAGACACCATCAACATAAAACTGCTGTGGGGAATAGAACAAATCGAATTATTTCTGAGGAAGAAGCACTGGAGGTGGATAAGACACACACATGAAAAAAGCACATAACTGAGTCACAAGACAAGGCCTCACTTGAAATCTGAAACGCCAAAGAACACATTACAACGAGAACTAGAAGCAGAGATGAAAAGAATGAACAGCGATCAGATAGAGCTGAAAAAGAAGGTCAACGACAGAGTGGGTTGGAGAATGCTGGTCGGCGGCCTATGCTCCATTAAGGGTAATAAGGCTTACGTAAGTGAGTTCATACACGTTTTGATTATAGGAATAACTGCTTATTTAAAAAAAAATAATTCTAAATACTCACTTAGAAGAAAAAATGCGAATGAAATCATTTATAACTTTAAGATGGACTTTTGGAAACATATTCTCGAGATAATAATATTGTTACATATTTTGAAAACCATGAATCGATCAGTGTTAGACCATCATTAGAAACCTGGAAGCACTGGACGGCCGTTTCGTCCTAGTATGGGACTCCTCAGCAGTGCGCATCCACGACTCTATCAGCTCGCTGGAGTATTCTACAATTTTTAGCTTATTTAGCTAATAATATTTTGATATGCTTGCAGTTATTGCGAGTCACCTTACTCGGTAACGGAACGAGGATCAGTAATTCAGCGACACAATAGGCTACTCTAATCCGATCGTACCAGGCCCCATTAACTAGACGAAGAAATCTTGATAAGACGTAGAGAAATGTATTCCACAAACAACTAGAAAGTACGAGGTCGACAAGCACACAACTCCAGCTTATTCTTACCATGACAAAACGCCCTTGGTGAGAGCCACAAAATAACGTACTAAAATAATCCATCAACCAACGACACTCAAGGATCGCCCGAGTGGGAAATGCAAGCTGAAGGTCGAAATGGGCATATTTAGCGCGAAACCATAAAATTCCAAAATTAAGAAATAAGATTCCAAAATTAGGACCTATTCCAAGTGCGTTCTGAGTTTTTTTACCCGACCGAAGCTGCTACCTTGACGTGGTGGTCAGGCTTGCCTATCGTGATGACTCAACGTAGCTATATTGGCTGGAACATATGTTCCTCAAGGTTCTACCATGCCAGGCCGGTCAATTGGAGAACGATGAGACTAAAAGCAGCTACCCAAGGTCTGAGGGCGAAGTCGTACTGCTGACTGCACAGGGGTGTGACAGCAGTAAGGTGTTTCCCTCGGACAACCAGCATCTGCAGCGATACCGCCTTCTCACAAGGAAGGAAGGGTTAGAAAAGATCGACCCTAAAAATGTCACACCTCACCCTACCTCACGGATTTCCGTCTCCGGCGGTAAGGGTTGCCTAATAAGGGCCTTAAAAAGAGCGAAGCTAACACTCAAAAAGCCTCTCATAAAAAGGCCGCGCGTGACTGGCGTCAAGCAGTTGTCCCTTAGGCTCTGTGGTCACGCTCCCACGTCGTTAAGACTAACGCTAATCTACCTTTCTTTTCAGGCTCCTCAAGAAACAACCTTCCACGGTGTGGGCAGCCGGGAAGTGACACCCACTCTCATACCCGTAACAGCACACGAGACCAAATTGGTCACAATCAAATCCTTCCTACACCCCGTTGTTCTGAGGATTTAACGTACCGAACATATCCAAACACACGCATACATTATAAATAAAAGAGGGAAAGCAAATAATTTGTTGTAAAAGAAAAAAACTAACTAACTAACCTGAATTAAAAGAGAACATAAAATAGCAAAAAATTTATTCATTATCCATAAACTAATAAAACCAATATGAAATATTGATTGACATGTCTCATTTGATAAAGATTCTTGTGATTTTAATTTAGACAATGTTAGTACACGTTCAACTGGTTCCCATGCACGTGAACTATTCAACATTATATTGAGAATAAATTCTGATAAAATAGTTAATTCATAAGGTAATAAATTGTTTAATGTAATATTTGGAATTATATCAATATTTTCTATAATACAATTTGTTATAATTTGATGTAATTGTGGCAGTTGATTAATGAATGTATCAAATGTTAATTGAATTGTATCTTTCATTGGTGGTAATGTTTTGCCAAACCAACAATTGAAATGTTCAATTAATATTAAATAATGCAGCGTACATGATGAACCAAATGGTGATTGATTTTCATGAGTATAATAATCATAATAAGATGAACAATGATTATTATTATTATTATTGTTATTATTATTATTTATGTAAGTTGTTAATGGAGTAGAACATATTGGATAAATCAATGGACCAGACATTGATGAGAAACGAACTAAACATGATAATAGACGTGCACCGAGTAGATCGGAATTGCGTACCCATGTATGTAACTGATAACATTTAAAAATAAAAGCAACAACAACACAATAATGTGTTTGGAGGGCAAAAAAAATGAATAATTAAAATCATCAATCGTGTTCATATGCCCAACAGTGAAAAATTAGGACTCATAATTTATTAGTATAACTGTGGTGCGAGCTACTTATAAGTAGTATATGACGTGAGTGTCCACGTAATGTCTGGCAGCAGAAGATGGGGGAAGATCAAGAAAGGAAGAGTTAGAAAACAATGGAATTTGTATGAAACGCATGAATAGTGACAATGAATTGATGTTTTGCAACAGGAACAGTCCAGTTCGATATGATGAACTGATATTTTGCAAATTAACGATTTACGATATGGTTTTCCGATATTACTGAGTAACTATGTAATTTTCGTTAAATACAATTCGGTTGCCTCACCTGTGTTCTCCTTCACTACATAACAGTTGTGGATATTGTTGAGTTTCATGGAAATAATGAATTGATCAATAACGGTTAGACTACCATTAGAAATCTGGAAGCACTGGAACTCATCAATAATGCGTATCAACTGTACTGCAACTAGCAATGGAACCCAGATTCTTCGATCTTGCATGTAAGGGGCTTGACCTCTTGATCAATCAGCCGGTATTAAACAGTGTTAATTTCTCGGCTTCAATTAATGCACGATATACCATGACTATTATCCGTCTGATGCATGAGCAGGTTTCTTATAAGTGGTTCAACAATGATCAGTTCATGATTTTATGACTTCTGACTTGAATGTTACTTGTTGGTTACTTGGTGCTTGTTTTATTAAAAACAACTGTCAACCAACATTAAAGTTAGAACTTTCAATATAAATGTCCAGACAGTTCTGTTGTATGAAGCGGAAACTCGGAGAACTACGGAAGGCATCATCCAGAAGATACAGGTATTCATTAACAGTCGTCTACGCAAAACACTTCGGATCCGTTGGTTTGACACAATCAACAAAAACCTACTGTGGGAGGGAACAAACCAGATACCAGCAGAGGAAGAAATCAGGAAGGAGCGCTGGAAGTGGATAAGATGCACAAGACAAGCCCTCACTTGGAACCCTGAAGGTCAAAGGGAGAGAGGAAGACCAAGGAACACATCAGGCAGCGAAATCGAGATAGACATGAGAAGAATGAACAAAAATTGGATAGAACTGAAAAGGGAGGCCCAGGACAAAGTAGGTTGAAGAATACTGTTTGGCAGCCTATGCTTCATGCCACTGAAGTTGTACCGACTTGACAACCTCAACAGACGCTAATCCTATAGAGCTTTCTTTTACACACTGCAGTAAAATGTCATAAACTGACCACCTCTCCGTTTTTTTCATTCAATCATATCGTCGGCAAACAACACACAGTGTGGAAGCCTAAAGGACGGCATATGTTGGCTCAAAATAAGTGCACAGATGTTTTAGCATTTAGTAACGGTCAAATATATGATCAGTATATCTGTAATCAAAACAAAAACCAACCTGCACCACACAAGTCAGTTTTTAGTCGACTTTTTACAATCTACAGATTATGATGAATGTTCTTATGGACACACTATTTCAATGCATATCATTTGAAACATCGAGGAGGTGTATCCATTGAGCCATTAAATTGGCTGTAAAAGACTGCCAGGTTTTTTTTACGGACCTGACATGTATAACTATTTTCATCGATAACATGACAATAATAATGAGCCATTAACATTTGTATTCTCAATAAAACAGAAAAAGGAACACCAAAGTGGGATTTACACATAAACACCTTTATCTTGAATGTAAAATAGTGAATAACTACTACTGTTGTAGAATGAAAAAGGCAGTGGGAAGATAAAAAAGCTTATTCATCAATTAGCCAAATTACAAATTGTTTATTCATTTAATCTATAGTTATGTTGTATTTGCATCTTGTTTTGTAATCTTACAATCCAAATTGGTTGCAGACTATCTTTTCTCATATCTCCTTCAGTCTCCAAAATATGAAGAACATCCCATGTTTTTGACTGTTGCAACCTTCATGTGACGTTTCAACTACATTACAACTACTTGTGAATTAAACTTATAGACAGTTATATGAATGTAATTAGTGCAACTTGAGTAAAGTGTGTGTGGAACTTTGATCTTCTATTGACAGAGCTGTGGATTTCAGGGAACTGAGAACATGTGATCATATATATACATATATATATATATATATATATATATATATATATATATATAAACTGGGATGAACACTTTCCTGTTGATACGAGTTAAACTTTGGGGGAGGGGGAGGGAATTAGTGGACAGATTACAAAGTGAAAATCTTACAGAACAATAGATTTTTATGTACAAAGAACATTTAATGAGTATGCATGTACAAAAAGGAAAGTGATATAGGGAAGACTGAGGCAAGCGAGGAAGATTGTATTATGCACATTTGCACTCTAAGTCAGTTAAAAACGAAAACGTTACATTGAACACTCTATTTGCACACCATCTTTGAGTCGTGACTTCCAACACTCCAGCCTTCTTCCATTACTGTTGTTGCTTCCTTTACTTCCTGTCGGTACTCCATTTACTTCTTGCTTTTGATCTATTTGCTTTCCGTTTTCCTCTTCTGACCGTGAGACTTCTTCTTTCACGTCCCTTCTTATACTACTTATATCGTTCGTATAAGTAGCACACACCACAATATGACTTTACAGTAAATCTTATAGAATATTATTAAACACAGTGAAAAATTGAGAAGAAAAACAAACCTACTTTAATAAACAATAATAATGTCTTTGGAAATGCATTGGATCCAAGTAGATCATTCCATTTTATACTAGGACGAAAACGAGCTTCTTGATCAGAACGTCTTAGTTGACTTGCATGAAAACGAATAACTATTTATTTATTCATAATATTAAAAAAAAATGTAGAAAGAAAAAAAATACTCAAGAATTTGTAAATATTTGTAATAAATAGAAAAAATTTATGAAAAATTCTTATTCACTTTGTTATAACGCTGCTACGTATAACTATTCAGTCCTAGTGGCGTCCAATTCAAATATACCAATATGACCCCAAAATGCTATTTCCAAATCTCTTAAATATCAGAACGCAACACCGTGGGATGGAGTTGTTTATTGGGCCGAGTACAGAAGAGAGGTAGACAGGAAGAAACGGAATCGGAATCGGAATCCGAATCATGAAGGCTTACAGATAGTGCGTATTTATACATTAAGGTCGAATAGGAAAGAGCATCAAAGTCTGTGACATTGGCAGTTCAGGAGGATCAATAGGAAAGAACACTTGAAATGACATTGACAGTCCGGATGACCAATAAGAGACAACATTGAAGTAATTGACTTTGACAGTTAAAACGACCATAATTTTGACCAATAGAAATCGACCAATGGGATTACACTTCTAAAAATATTACTCTTAGGATATTTGGTGAATATCCTAACACCCTTAATACAATATACCATATAACTTTTTCAAACCCATATTATGAATTGTTTTAGGCTGTCTACTCGAATACCACTGGGTCGAATGAGAGCTTATGAAGAACTATCATTGGAATTGATTAACTCGTGTGGTGTTCGTCAGGGTTGTTCACTTTCTCCATTCTTATACAACTTTGTCATAGACACACTTTCATTATCTTACTTTTCAGGAGATAAACTTTCACCGAGAGATTTATTTGTTGACTTAGAGAATAAATCGATGACAGTTTCATTTGATGAAGACATTGACTATCTTAAGCAACAATGCAACAGTGTTCGGGATGCGATTCTCCTCTTCGGAATGCAAAATCTTGATTCAGCATTGGATTGCATCTGCATCTGAACTAGTAATAAGTAGCCATTAGGGAAAATACTGCTACTAGCGCTACTACTATGCGATTAAAACTGTCAATTCGATATTTCTGTACTAATGTAGTATGATAACTTGAACTAATGTACATACTTACGAAGTTGTACGCTGTTGCTGACTGTGTGAAAGTTTGGAGTAGACAAGCAAGTCAACATCTTACAGTGGGAACTAGAAATTATCCCAGAAAAATTACTGACTACATAGAATATGACATATAAATACGAAAAATTTTATTATAAGGTTGTGGAGGTTTCATTGAAATCATGAATCGATCAATGTTACACCACTATCGAAAACCACGGAGGCAGTTTTTTTCCTGGTAGGGGACTCCTTAGCAATGCACATCTACGACCCTCATATTCAGCAATTGAATCCAGAACCTTCGTTCTCGCACGCGAACGCTTAACTTCCTGATCATTGAGTCAGCATCAAACGCAGCTAATTTCTAGCTTGAAACAATCTACGATATTGTGCGACTTCATCCATAGTCTTCGGTGAGTTTAGGCCTCATATCTGACACGGCCTTCAGTGAAGAGGTTAACCGTTCACGTGCGAGACGAATGTTTCCGGGTTCAGTTCCCGGTTATGAAGTCCTTAGCGAATACTGTTAATGAGTCTCATACTAAACCAAACGGTCTTTCAGTGATTCCAGATTCATATTGGTAGTCTAATAATGATCGATTTGTGATTCCAAACAAATATGAAAATGCGAAGTTAATCAACTCCGGGAACTGCATTAAATAGCTGCTACATATTATTGATTTTTAATTCCAATCAAATTCTGATAATTGAAATTACAAATTCTGTAAGAATAAACAAGGTTGGATTAAATATACTTGATTTCTAGGGCAGATTTAATAAACAACATGTTACTAGTGTGTATCAGTACTCACTGTTAATTTGTCTTGACCATTTATCCACGTTATTCTGGTTATAAATGGTTGACTAACTCTACCTGATAAATAGGTCAACTATAAATACAATACTATTGTATACATATACATTTCACGTTATTTTCATTAATTATAAAAATTTAAAACTCACGTTCACGCGGTAAAAAATCCCAACCTGTAATCATATCGAGGCAATTGATTACTCTGTATAAAATTTCACTTTGTCCTTGACTTAGAGTTGAACAATCCAATGAAGACCAATAAACTAATAGTTGATTAGCTAGGCAAAGTAAATTTTTAAATAATCGTACTAGTTCATAGTCCTAATGATGAAAAGAACAAACAAAGAATAGTGTAAAACATCATCATTCAGTTGAATCAATAAGTAATATGCAGAACAGTATTTATTTATTGTATTGACTATGCGAAAATTTACGCAAGACAAGGTCACGTTATTCAAGAATCTTTGTGGTATTCAATGAGTCTTAAATATCCGTCAGTTCAAGTTCTCATAACATGATGGCGAGGGACAAGGAGATAAAACTAACAGAATGGAATAATGAAAGAATACTAGTATCACTGATAGAAAGATTGAATAGTGAAGAATACAGTTAGAATGCGATGGTTACGCAGGTGTGCAGAGGACGAATTTGTTATCTATGTGGTCAGTCAGTCAGTCAGTAATAACGTGGAACTTGGTAAGTTCTATGTGGTAAAGTTGGCGAAATATGGTTGATAAGCTTTGCCAACTTTGTTTAAGTTACCTCAACGTCCTGTGTCCACCATGTATAAGCAACAGTAGGACTCTCAGTCAAAATGAATGCCATTTTCCGCAAGTTTTTAATGATGAGTACAACCAATAAGGCCATAATAAATGAATTCTCTACATAAGTGTGTTTATCAGTTCAACTGCTCCTGTGAAGCCAGTTATATGCGGAGCAGAACTTCACCATCATTGCATCATAAAACACAGTCCAGTTTTTTCTGAGCAAAAGATAATGATTAAGGGCAAGAGTTTTATTCTCTCTCGCTTATTGAACACAAGACATCCGATTGACTACAACAAAGTCATCAAAGTTGTCCACTGCATTCTATTAAATTTACCAGATGGTTTACGAGTTTGTCTTTTGCATATTACGAAAGCTATCTTATATATATATATATATATATATATATATATATATATATTCAACTAATAACAACGTAGAACTTCGTACGTACGTACATCAGTTCATGTTGCCATATCACATTAGCACAGAGATGTAATTGTCAATTCAAATCCAATAATAGTACAGGTAGCAACGTATTGGCAGTAATCGGGGAGATTAGGGTTAAAAGATATTTTTCAAGAAGAATCTAGGGAAATAAGCTTAAAAAGAAAAAGTTTAGTATTTGAGAGAACAAAAGTAATGAATGCACCTGCACTATTGCGAACGGTTTTGAGCCATGTCGTTCAAGGTCTCTAACCATCGATTACCATCGTCTCGCGGACCTCAACCAGGTAGCATACAGCTAGCAACATGACTCAGTCCACTTGTCAGTGACTTCATGGATTTCTGCCACGTTTTGGTCTGGCCTCTCCTAGCTTTCGTCCAACCTATTCCTGCACCGCAAAATATAGCTCTACGAGGCAGTCGGTGGTTAGGCATACGCAACACATGTCCTAACCACCTCAAATGATTATGTTTCATTACTTCATCTATTGACCTGCCCAAAAGAACAACTTAACTTATGTAAATTGTTCAGTTAAAACAATTAAATAATATGCATTATGGGGTTGTGAAGATTGTTAAGTTACACATTTTTGAAACCATGAATCGATCAATGTTAGACCACCATTAGAAACTTTGTGAATTTGATCAAGTTAGACATTACCACCGTTAGATACCGGTTCAGTGGTCTAACGGTTACGGCGTTCGCTCACAATACCGAAGGTCCTGGGTTCGAATCCTGCGGGGTGCAGGAGTCGTGGATGCGCACTGCTGAGGAGTCCCATACCACGATGAAACGGCTGTGTTTCAGTGCTTCCAGGTTTCTAATGGTGGTCTAAAACTGATCGATTCATGGTTTCAAAAATGTGTAAATTAAATAATAATAATAATAATAATATACCTGAAATCTAGCTCGAAGAAAAACATGTGCTTCCAATGGCATATTTAATTGTGCACTATCTTCGGAATAGGCAAATTCATCTAACAATGCAGACAATATATATAAGCCTAATAATCCTTGTTTAAAAATAGGTTCCTAAAAAAAACAAAAAACAAAAAACAAGAGAGAATAAAATACAAAATTCATTTTTTACAAACAGATGAGCGTATTTTATTTGTCATTAGTCAGTCAGTCAGTCAGTTGCAACGTAGAACTTCGTACGTAAGTATATCAGTTCATGTTGCCATACGACATCAGCACAGAGATGTAATTGTCGATTCAAATCCAATAGTAGAAGAGGTAGTAAGGCAATTAGAAGTAATCGGAGAGATTAGGATTAGAAGATATTATTCAAGGAATCCTAGTGTAAGTGAGACTATCTCAGAAAATGATGGGACTATTATTTATTCTCAATCCAGGAGACTGGATCGATGGGCAGAACACTTTAGGGATCAGTTCAACTGGCCTCGAGCCACACTTCGGTTACCCACGATCTCCAGTCATCCTGAATGGCAAATCGACGTAAGGTGCCCTAGGCTTTACGAAGTTGAGAAAGCGTTGGGAAATCTGAAGTGAGGGAGAGCTGCAGGTCCTGATAGACTGACCCCTGAGATATTTAAGGATGGTGGTACAGTTTTAGCAGGTAGGTTGACTGAGATCTTAGGTAGAATCTAGGAACTGGACATAATCCCATCCGACTGGTCTCAATCCTTGATTATCTCAATTTATAAAAAAGGACAAAAGTCTTCTTATGACAATCACAGGGGAATAAGTCTAACTAATATAGTTTCTAAAATTTGTCATTAGTAAAAAAAGTGAAATTGGTCAAAGTGATGCGGAAAAACTAATCACTTTGTCAGTCAGTACTTCGCCCTCAGACCTGGAATAGCTGTTTTTAGTCTCATCATTCTCTAATCGACCTGCCTGACATGGTAGAACCTTCAAGAACATGTGTTCCAGCCAGTATAAGCTCGCGGTTGGGTCATCAAGATAAGCAGCTACAGTCGGGAATCACTTTGTAGTTTGAATGAAAGAAGAAAATAAGAAATAAAAGAAAGAACAACCTCTCTTTTGATTGAAAACTGCTCATACAGAGAGAGAAAACTGGGTTTTTTTTAATACGAAATGGAACAATTTTTAACATACATCAACACTACATTAAATGCGAATGTGTGTTTAGAAAGACGTCATTGATGAGACAACGATTCAATTTTAGCTAAATTGCACTGATAATGAATTTTTAAAATTGCATTAAACATTAAGCTTTTTCTTTTCAAGTGAGAATTGTACATCAAAATGGATGAAAATGAAATCTGGATTATTTCGCATTTTTTTTCAGTGGTTGCATAGACAGGCATATCCATTTTAAAAGAAACAAACACTAAGAAAGATTTATTCTAGGAAAGTTTGTGATGTAAATTATTTTACTGGGATAAAAACTGTACAACTCGGTGGCAAATATTGAGTAAGAATTAGAATAACTTCTTTACCAAGCGCTAAATGTGAAAGTTAGTCATAATACTCGTTTAAGCAAACCAAAGTAGGTGGGGCTGAACTAGAACCTAGATAAAGTGACTAAAAGTCAAACGCCTTAACCAATAAGTAATGTTTTTCAAACGTTTTGGTACGGCTGACAGTGAAGAGAGTCAACTCTTCTCAAAATGCTCTCACACATGGCCACGTGTGTATAGTCAAAGTCAAGGGAGGTTTTATTTACGAAATGGAGGATGAAAATCGAATGTTTAGCCAGGGCTTTAACAGGGATGGTGGGTACAAAGTATTCACAAAAAGGGAGTTGGAAAACTCTCATTTAAAACCAATACTAATGGTGTACTCAGGTTCCAGGATTTGTTAGCTATCAGCTACCCTTAATAATACACCATTACCTTGTGGACTAGAGACTAGTAGGTCCAAAGCTCGAAGAGTGGTCCCCTAAGAAAACCTTCTGCTTCGGTCGTGGCGTCCAGATTGTATACAAGCCCACATATGAATTCAATAACTTTTGTGGTGCAAATATATTTAGGTGCCCATTTGTACCAATGTTTGTGTTCAAATAAAAATCATCTAAAGAATAGACCCACTTTTAGTGGCTACGTTAAATTTGAAGTAGAGCTTGCCACATCAGTGGCTGTATTTACTAACAGGTAAATATGTTATGAAAAAAAACTTCCCTTTACTTTGTGTATATCACACTTAGGCGAACCATGTTTGTGTGATGGCGATTATAACAAGCCAAATACAGTTTTGTGGATGAATTTGATTCATGCATTCATTAAGGCAAACATACATGAGAATGCAAAGCGTGCTGGCAAGTGAGCCAACACCACTTTGCTTTGCTTTACATGTACGCTTTTTGTTCTCTTGTCTGTCTGCACGAACGACTGCCTGAAATAAATTCATCAAACCGAATTTGTATTTGGCTTCTTATTACTGCCGTTATACAAACGAGGTTCGTCTAAGTATGATATACAGGAACTAAAGAGGAGATTTATTTCATAGCATACTTAACTGTTCATACATATTAAAGTCAGATCGGGGGTCACTAAAATAGTGAACCCTATTTGATTCCAACGCATCCACAACAACCAAACAAACTAAATCTCTCTAGAATGCAAGCATCTCCTGGTTCTGCTACTGTTTGCTTTTGGCACAATTAAGAAAATTTACCAATCTGAACACACACTACTAATTGGAAACTTAGACAACAGAGGAAACAGTCAGATGAACTTAAAAAAACAAAAGAACTATCGAACGAAGACTACTTAGAATAAATGTTGAAAATTCTTAAACGATATAAAAGAACACTTAAGTTCATAAGTTTACAAGGATGAAACTGTCATCTGACTGTAATAAAACGATAAATTACCTGACATCATCTGAAAAAAAAAGTTACATGAAAACAAATCACATTATTTCAAACCTACCTGATCATTATCAATGCCAGATATGTCTGATTGTGTTAGCGGTTGAATCAACTCCTCAATGTGTTCAATCAACTTGATCAATAACCAACAAGAAGGTCCTGGATCATCTGGTGGTGTGGTAAGTATTCGAGATCCTATTCCAGGTCTATGATGGACATTTTCATCAACTGCTGTAGACCGCCAAACAGCAGCAACCTTTTCGGCATGGGCTGCTGAAGCCCTTTTAACCAGCGCCCCAGCAGCGCTTAAGATGCGCTGACGAGCAGCAGGACCGCACTGGAAAAAAGTTTTCAACATTGTAACGTCGAAGCGAGACTACGAATATATTTAGTATCATAAACAAATAGATGGAGGCAATCTGTTATATGTCTGCAGTCTTTATCTACATTTCCTAACTGCATCCTATATAATATTAAAAATGAGCTCCAATTAAAGCATTTTAGTTTCTTAAAACCGATTCGGCCTACATACATGGATAATATATAGACTGATTCCAACGCCTAAATTTAACTCAAAGGCAACTAGGTGAAGCTTTTCAAACTCCAGTCTGATGAAGAGACATAGGAGACTAATATAAATGTCCTCAAAGAATAACTTATTGCCAGCAAGTATCAATGTAGACCATAGATATAAGACTTCCAGGTTAAAATTTAAACGACATAACCATTAACAAATGGGTAAAATTGAAGTTTTAAGTCAAATTAGCAAATACATATTCAAGTATGTGACCTAAAGTTAAACAGCTGGTGTGAAGAATAGTCATCCTATTTGACTTCCCTGATCGAAGAGTAAAGTTTGAACCTGTAGCCTATAAACTGAGGGTCAAGTACATCAATCGGTGGCAAAATACTCAAAGACAGAGCTAAGGAACAAAAGATATCTAACTATAAAGTGAAAAAGCACCAATAAATTGAGAGTACTAAATTTGAAATACATAGACGACCGAGTAGCAGATGAGGGTAAAAGTTTACAAAGGTACCTCGAATCCACGACGCTGTGCCCATTCCAAGATGAAAGTTAGAAGCTGGAGTGCTTTGCAGTTATCTATGCATTCGCTTGATGGAGCGAAAACTGAATTCCATTCCCGAACCACTGCATGAGACAGACATCGACCAGCTTCATATAGCAGGCAGTCGTTATTTGAACGAGCTTTAACAGATTAAAAAAGAGTAAAAATCTCGAGAGTCATATATGTTTATAATGATAATAATAATTGCTCAGTGGTTCAAGAATAAGAACATTTGATGAGTAGAACCACATCAAAGAATCCTAATAATAATATACATGGTGGGATGACAAAGGCGACAAAATAAGTAGAATGAATTTGGATTTAGTAACGCTACTACGGTATGATTATTTGATCGACTTGCTTCATAGTATTATAATATCCATATTCACTACTTACTTCTTCATAAGCTGTGTATACTGAGGAGGGTCACCGAAACTCATCACGCTTTGATCGAAAGCTTAGTTAAACATTAAGAGGTACCAGGAACGATTTGGCAATGGGTTGAAAAGTAGTGGATAGCATAACCATTGCCGAGAGGAGTTTCGCTTCAACAGTAGATGACTAGATAAAAAGCGAGGGTATTTTGGAGTAAAGTTTATTGCGCCTGGAACCCTTATTTGGTTTCTTGATACTAGGAACATAGATCAACACACTAGGACGGACTCATGACTTTCAGTCAAAGTTACAGAGGCCCTGATAAATATCTTCGAGAAGTCCAGGGACTATAATCATGAATTATTAATAAGATTAACATGTTAGAAGACAATCATAAATGGAATAATAGGTAAACCCATTGAGAGATTGAGTCAGCTGTTCTTCAGCTACTCTCTTATTAGTTACTATGTTGAAACAACCGTAATGAAGAAGTGAAATGAGCCCTACTACATTTGGCAAAGTTAAGAAGGTAACAGCTAACCAGAAGATAAGGAGAGTAGCAGAAACTGGTAGGGTAGAGCCGGATACCTTTGAAGATAGCAGCTCATGTGTATCTGTTAGATTGGTTACGATAAAAGACACGTTTCCGTAACTAGCCGTAATCTTGTCTCACTGATCTCAACCATAACATCCAGTTTATTAAGGACTGAATAACTGATAACAAAAGACCAAAATCTATTCGTGATAGCCACAGTGGAATGAGCTCCACCATACAGTATTTAAAGTGCTACTCTTGATAAACTTTAACTACTTAAGGCCTTTACAAAACAACTTCTGCTTATTTTCAGACCTGGCAAAGACATAGAGGCACTTAAAGGGTTCTGACATGGCTCAAAACCGTTTGCACTGGCACCTCTACTACTATGGGATTTTAGTTGACAATTATATCTTGGTGCTAATGTGGTATGGCAACTTGAACTGCTGTACTTACGTGCAAAGTTCTACGTTGCTGTTGATGATCATGACCATGATGGTCAGCAAGTTGTATAATACTCGAGTGTAAGCCTGCCTCTTGGCGAAATTCTCCCATTTTCGAACAACGAGAATGATGATGATGAAAACCAAACGTACCCACCAAAGCTTATGAATGCAATTCTTGACCTGAAGCGGTTGAGTCAGAAGTTATATGGCGACGCTTATCACAGAATGTACCAATCACTACCAAACACTACACTACTAAGTTAGAGCTTATGCCAAGCTATCACCAGAATTGTCAACTCTATGTGCCGATTACCAGGACTTTATATCATCTATACTTATGTTTTATTTCATAATAGACATTTGTTTGAAGTTAAACGTCCAGTCGTTTGACTTCAGGAACAAACAACCACGAAGTGCGCCTAGAATACGCAGATATCATAGTGTTGTCTGGTGATAACGTTGATAAATTCGATGCACTGATCACTTCGAGTAGCAATCAAAGATTTATGAGTTGAGATTCTCTTCCTCTAAATGCAAATCTTTAATTTTAGACTGGGCTACATCTATTACTATACTATTTACGGGGAATGAAGTACTTGAAGGCAATGTAATGATAATAAAAAGGTATGTGGGCTAGGCACGTTGAAGTCACTCATGTCGAAAAGTATGGTTTACATTATTAAATACACCAACGCTTAGTAAAAAAAAACTAACTTAAAATAGCAGTGCATATTTCGTAAGGCTCAGAGCAGGAACGGAACTGCAGAATTTTCTCCTCTGCTCGTTTCCGGTCTTCTGACTTTATTGAATGCTATTTTTGGAAGTATGAGAAATTCGAAATGTTACCAGTTGTGCAGTAGCTGCATCCTCCAATTGCTTAAGTACATCGTCCATCAAAAGACACGCAATATCCACAACGTCCGCCTGTTGATTCAAAAATCAATCGACACTGAAATGCAAGTTGATAACCTTCTAACGAACATTATGACTAGCAACATATGATTGGTAACCTCACGATTTTAGAAGCAATTGAAGTAAGAACTAAAATAAATCAACCAAAGGCCCCTAATGTCTAACAATTTGCTATTTTTGCACAGTAGATTTCAAAGTTCATAATCCTATTCTCCAACATCCAATATCTTTTTCACGAGTTAGTGTAAACCAATTAATTTCTTTGCGCTCGATTCTTGTTCTTTCGGTACGATTCCAGGTGTTCGATAGAGTTCAATGAATGGGGGTCTAGCCACTCGATTGTCTAATTCTATTCAATGGGCAGTTGATTGTGAGTTTTATGTCTCAGGATTTGAATGAAAACATTTGTTTCAGGGAAGTAGGGTTTCTAGATATCAGCAGCTATCACATTACCAGACCGGAGACCAGTTAGTTCCAATGTGGAGAGCAATACGGATAATAAGGATAAAATTCTAATGCTAATATGAATAGGATATCAGAACTAAGTAATATGTAGGTGAATTTAGTTTATTTATTGGTAGTTAAGGTTGTGAGAGAGGACCTTAGCGTAAGTACGGGGGAGGAAACACAGATAATAAGTTATCTGAGGAGATGGCAAAGATAACAACTAGCAGGTCTCATGGACAGCTTGTCCAAGAGGGAGATGATAATCCATAGGTGAGTACGTGTTTATCAAGTCTCTTCTTGAAGCTGTCCAAATTGCGACGGCTCGCGATGAGAAAAAATGTGCACGAATCTGAGTATTCGCTCTCTGATGTGCAATCTTTCGAGGATAGCCTCGAGGGGAGTGGTGGTGACGCATAGGTAAGATGTTCATGTTTCTCAGTGGAAATAATCATAAGTGCTGGAGTCTACCATCGTAAGGCTTATTTTTCAACCCTATCACCCATTCCGTTGCTCTTCTCCCTCCAAGAGATTTATGTCTCTTTTATGTAGAGAGGGTGCGATAACGTTGTGAACCTCCAGGTGTGGGCGCGCATACGTCTTATTCAGTGTTAAAAATAACTGCGGGATGACAGCACCAATTTTTCTCCTCATAAACTGAACAGCCGCACTTGCCCTCATTGCGTCCCCTTTATAGTTAGGACTGGTTTGAAGGCTTTCTGTGGTTATGAAACCGAGATCAAGCTCTGAGGAGACATTAGGAAGCGGACTTCCATTGAGGATTTAGTTCGTTTGCGTTGGGTGAGACAGAATATGCATGACGTGGCACTGGTTCGTTGAGTTTTAAACCGTTTACACTGCCCACTTCTCAATAGATATAAGGTCCTTTTGGGGCTCAGCCGAATCCTATTCGCTTCTAATGGAGCTCCAGATCTTCGCATCGACTGGGTAGAATAATGCCGGTGAACTGACTGAGCCTAACAGGTAATTAATAAACATTAGGAAGATAAGTGGGCCTAAGATGGTCCCCTGTGAAACTCCTGATGTGGATGCTCGCCAGCTTGCGTGCTCTCTGTTTACCTTGGTACGAAACTTTCTATTCTCAACGTAGTTTCTGAGCCAAGATACGAGTGGGTCGGTGAAGCCCATTTCCGTAATCTTTTCGTTCGGGCGTGCGTGGGGTACTGTGTCAAAGGCTTTTGCGAAATACTACGTGCACCGTTATTTTACGGTCCAAACAGGATGTTCAACTGTCCCATGCAATGAGAAGATTAGATGCACACGACCTTCCTTTCAAAAACCCATGTTGAGGTTCATGGAGTAATTTATTCTAAGCTATCAGCTGGCACTGGGTTTGCGTAGTACTCTGAACATGTGTGTGCCTGGTTTGACTGCTCAGTAAAGTTAGTGTTGAAGATCTCGGCCATCTCTGGGTTGGTGAGATCTTCCTCGTTCAATCCTTTGAAAGAACGCAACCCTTGATTAGTAGGTATTCTTTTGGACATGAACCTAAACAGATGCTTTGGGTTTGCCCGTATTTTGGCAGCTAGCTTCATCTGAAATTGTCTCCTACCAATTCAGACTTTGGTATTACATCTGTTTCTCATTGCCAAGTAAGAATTGCAATCGGAATCCTTCAACGAGACCTTCCACTTGTGCCAGGCTCTCCTCTTCGCCTGTAGCAAGCGTTCAGTGCCACGTCTGAACCAAATTCTTCTATTCCCAGGTGTGTGGTGTAACTGAGGTAAGTTGTCTACGACAGCGTTTTGGATGATATTTCTCACTGTTTTCCACTGTCAGCCTCCACCACTCCCGTTGCCATGAGGCATGTAGGAGGACTTCTCTCATATACGTATAATTTGCCCTAGTGTAGCAAAGATATAGCTCGTTTTCGTCCTGTGTGTGTTTCGTTTATGAAAAAGTTAAATAGAACTGTGCCATGGTCACTACTACCTATTGGTGTATGGAGGTGAAAATCCTCCACCAGGAGTTGGTAATTTGTTAGTAGATAATCCAGGTTTGAGGACTTTGACTCTTTTGTCCACCTGGTGGCACTGCATAAGTGCTCAGCCAGCCCGTAGCTTCTAACAGCTGCTCCAAGTCGTCTTCGGAACAAACCAGTGGAAGTTATACTCTGATTGTTGAGATTTAGAGATGAGGTATTGAAATCTACAGCTAGGAGTATTCGATCAAACCCTAGGAGTGGCAGTTGCAGTATTACCTCAATCAGTTTGTTTTTCTGGGCTTTAGTACCTGAGGTAGCTCGGTAAATCCCTTCAATCAAGTATTTCTGAGTCCTATAAATAACACTTTTTCAACTTAAGGACTATGATTACTTAGCCTGAACTGCATCAAATACCTATAGGTCTAAGGATTAACTTCTATGTGATTTTTTTGTGAATGACAGTATGTCTGCTTTCGTTCAAAGTCAGTCAGTCAGTCAGATGCAACGTAGAACTTCTTACGTAACTACATCAGTTCATGTTGCCATACCACATTAGCACAGAGATGTAATTGTCAACTCAAATACAATAGTAGTAGAGGTAGTAAGGTATTAGAAAAAATCGGAGAGGTTAGGCCCGACCGAAGCTGCTACCTTTACGTGGTGGTCCCGCTTGCCTATTGTGATGACCCAAACGAGCTATACTAGCTGAAACTTATGTTCTTGAAGGTTCTACCGCGCCAGGCAGGTCGGCTGGAGAACGATGAGACTAAGAAAAGGTACTCAAGGTCTGAGGGCTAGCTCTTCTCACATTCCTTGATCACAGTGCACAGCTGATGCAAACGATGTGAGTTCACGAAACGTCATTCCTGGTGTCTTGGAACCCTGTTCTATACTGTATGTTTACGGACGTTGTGTCAAATAGGACAACAGGCATCATTAGCTAGAACTTTAAAATCTCCTGCCATCGATGTGTGCTGCGACTTGAAAACGCGCACACAGGATCCGAATAGCATCATTCACTAAAACTCACCATGTCAAGATAAAGAAGCAACTCGATTAACACTTTGTGTGTCCGGTAGCCCTGATGATGCTTCAAGGGATCTCGCTGGTGTCGTAGGGCAGAATTGTCTCACCTAGACTGGAAATCTCTAGATAATCGCTTGTGCGCCGTCCGACTAAACGGGCTAGTAAGGTTTCGAAAGGATAAGGACAGTCGTTGTCGCCTCTTCCTCATATCAGCCCGCTGACTGCAGTCCAGAAAACGTAAAAGATGAGTTTTACAGAAAGCTTTCGGACCTCCTCCAAACAGCTAGGCGCTCTGATATAGTGATAATGGCTGGTGACTTCAATGCTCAAGTATATAGACTAAGTGAAAATGAACGTCACCTAGGTGGATGTCATGGTGTCGCGGCTCATAGAAGAGACAGTGGCGACCTTTTGTTGCAAGTATGCTCAGGTAACCGCCCATTTCTAGCAAACACTGAATTTAGGCTTAAGGAAAAGCATCTTTTGACCTGGCGACCACCCCAAGGTCGTCTCAATGTTGGACCCAGTTAGATCACTTCGCCACCAGCCACCGATGGAGTGTTTCGATAGAGGACTGTCGCTCGTTCTGGGGGCACATGTTTAGATTCAGATCATAACCTAGTGCGAGCGCGCATTTGTTTGAGGTTTACTGGACGTAGGAAAGACACCCCAAGGAAACCTCTTAGGTTTCTATTTGATGATAACGAGGCTAAGAGTATATTTCAGGAACAACTAGAAAAAGAGTTAGACAACCATGTAAGTGATTCCTATCCGGAGGCAGGTAGGAATGATATCAAAAAGGCTGTGGGAACAGCAGTGATATCTGCTAGCAAGGTGAACCATAAGGCTAGGATGAAGCCGTGGATTTCAGTCGCATCCACTGAACTGATGGATGCGCGAAAACGCATCCCACCTGACTCTGAACATTTCGAAGAGCGAAGTCAGCTTAGGTGCAGACTGATAAAAAGCCTAAGTCACGACCGTGAACAGTGGTGGGTGGCGAAAGCAAAAGCGATGGAAAAGGCAGCGGCGATAGGCAACACTAGACAACTTTTCCGACTCATCAAAGAAACCGGTATTAGGAACCCGAATGTGAGTTGGACTATCTCAGAAAATGACGGGACTATTATTTATTCCCAATCCAGGAGACTGGATCGATGGGCAGAACACTTTAGGGATCAGTTCAACTGGCCTCGAGCCACACTTCGGTTGCCAACGATCCCCAGCCATCCTGAATGGCAAATCGATTTAAGTCCTCCCAGTCTACATGAAGTTGAGAAAGCTACAGGAAATCTAAAACGAAGTAGAGCAGCAGTTCCTGAAATGCTTACCCCTGAGATGTTTAGGGATGGTGGTACAGTTTTAGTAGGTAGGTTGACTGAAATCTTAGGTAGAATCTAGGAACTGGACGTAATCCCATCTGACTGTTCTCAGTCGCTAATTGTCCCAATCTACAAGAAAGGACAGAAGTCCTCTTGTGACAATCACAGGGGAATAAGTCTAACTAATATAATATCTAAAATATTGGCCTCAATAATACTTCTACGCTTAACGAAAGCTCGTGAAGAGCAGACTCAAGAAAACCAGGCTGGTTTTC